TACGGAAATGGGCATCACCATAATCATCAATAATGTAACGCTTCATCAAACTTTGACTTGGATTTAACTCTGAGCTCTCTCTCTCTCTCGGCAGCCAAGAAGTAAGAGAGGGTAAGCGAGGCCAGCATCGCGCAGTTACCACCGCGGGCTATACTTTGCGAGAGCTGCTTTGAGCTTCATCGCGAGAGAGAGAGAGAGTGTTGTTGCTTCGAGGGATGAGAGAGAGCTTCAAAGGGTTCCTAAATATACGAAAGAGATATACATAGAGAGAGAGAGAACATAACAGCAGCTTAAAGGGGTGAATAAAGATCCGGTTTGACTCTCGCTACTTTGAAAATCGAGCCCGTAACCCTTCGAGTGGCCGTACAGGGCTTATGTTTGTATAAATAAATGTATGCTGCCACTACAATGCGTGTCCATCCGTGGATATATATGCGCATGCAGTTTCTCTGTTGTAACGCGACGACTCTCGGGTCGAAAATTAGCTGCTCTTTAGGAGTCGCGCCGCAAGCTCGGTGTGATATTACCCGCGTGTACGAGTTCACACACACGCACGCAGGATAAAAATGCAAATTGCGCGGTTCATTGTCCAAAACAAAAAAGAAGAAGAGGGGCTTGTGTAAGGCACTCCGCATCGTAAACGCCAAAAGCGGTGGCCCTTTTTTTTTGCTGCCCAACCGCGTGCTGCTGCTGCTGTTGCTTTTTGTCCGATATTATATACATGATGTATACGCATGGCGTTATGTGTGTGTGTGTGCGGCTCGGCTGCTTAATCGCCCGTGTCGTATTGCACAAACACACCAAGGCGTGTTAGGTGCGCGCGAGGCAAGATGACACTCTCTCTTGCTGCTCTCTTTCTCTCTCTCTCTCTCTCTCTCTCTCTCTCAAGCGTCGGCACGCGCCCCGCATAACACTGTACATTATGAGCGTGTTATACACAGCGTATACGAGCTGATAAGTTGGCGAAACATTGGAAATATTTATATAGCCACGGAGAGTTAAGCACGCTGCATTATATCCGATAAGTGCATAGGGCGGCCCTCTCTATTTGTGAAATACGATGCAAATATTGTTTGCATATTATACTTCCACGTTTATGCATACTATACGTAAATGGTATACGCGGACACGCATATATGTGTATGTGCACACACGAGCGCGCGCCATAGCCAGCTTATAAGCTCTCAAGGTCACGTCCACCGCAGGTATAGAGCTGCTCTCTAATGCATACGTGTACGTTATATACACTGCACCGGCTGCACATATAGCACACACACATGCACACACACATACGTAGCAGGAAACTATTCCTCTGCCGCCGCTGCTGCTGCTGCTGCTATTACTGTGCTCGAGCACGTGCACATTTTAGATATTACCCTCGCGTACTTGCAGTGCAAGGCATGTACACGGACACGAGTGTTTATTTATAAGAGCCTATATATAGGCCTTTGCCGTTCGGAGGTGCATACAGCACCGATCGCGGCGAGGCTATACGGCACACATACCGGAGAGAAGAGGATCGAGCTCGCGATGGATCGCGCGAAATTATAAACTTTAATTCCCGCGGCAGCTCGCCGAGAGAGAAGATTAATCGGCGACGATGGACTCCGATCATGGTCTCGATCGCAAGCAGCTTTGCGCAAAGACGCAGGGACAAAAAAATAGAGGAGAGAAGCTGCAAGAAAAAGCGCCGGTTGTGCATTAACGCGCGCGCGCGCATACGCTTGGCGGCTTGCGTATAGCGTATAGTAGACAAGTTCGATGACCGAGAGACGAAGCGAGCGAAAGTGAAAGTGTCTTTGTTATACGATCGCGGAGCGGAGCAGCATAGCGCACGCACTCACAGATGGACGGCATTTATACGAGCGCGCGTATTCAAGATAGATAGCGCGCAGAAAAGCTGATATAGGAGGAGGCTGCTACCGCCACTGTATAGAGAGAGAAAGAGAGAGAGAGAGAGAGAAAGAGACTATGTCGCAGCGGAAATATTTCTCTTGGGGAAACGTGATTGGAATCGAGGTAATTAAGCGAGCTTTTGTCCCGGCCTGCCTAGCTCCTGCTGCAGCACAGATCGGCCCTCCTGCCCGCCGCGCAGCGAACATACGTACTGTATATGTATGTATGTATGCCTCGATCGCGTCCCCGAATGCGAACTTCATTTTATTTCGACATATATACACTCGCGTACGAGAGAGAGAGAGAGAGATGAGAGAGAAAGGGGGATATACATACGCACAAGACGACTGTAGCAGCAGACCTATGATCCCTAAAGCTGTATTATGTGACCCGCGTCGATATTCCGTAGATTATACGTGTTGTGCTCTTCGATTCTAATGATACTGCGCGTAGCAGGAAAGTTACTGCAAGGCCAGCAGCAGCAGCAGCGAGCCAGCCGTATATATGTACACGATTCTTCTTCTTTTTTCCCCCGCGCCTCTTCCCTTTTTTCGCTCTCTTTTTTAATTTAAAAAGTTTTTTTCCTCGTTTTTTTTTTCACCTCGGGTGTGTGTAGTGGATGCAAACAGCTCTCGTGTTTGAAAAATTATTCGCGTGGTACATGTGTACTGCTACTGCTATCTCGGCGCGGCAGCTGCCAGTGCACACGTATGCAAAATCGATAGATGGATTAGATCGACTCTCTTTCTCTCGGTGTATATAGTCAAGGCTGCTGCTACTGCTGCCGTTGCCGCTGGAATGTATTTTTAAACTCGCGTCGCGAGACTCGTCGATTGCGCACTTTTCTGCAGGAGAGAGAGAGAGAGAGAGATTTTAATCCGAGTAGTTTTTTCACAATACTTTTTTCAGCTAATAATAAACTCTTTCAGCGATGTTTCAATTTGGTATCATGGTTAATTCTCCGAAATAAATGCGCAAACGATCAATCGCGTTGCATGCAATTACATTTGACGCGTCGTAAAATCCGGTCGCTCTCTCTGTATGCGTGTAATGACGGCTTATTAACGCGTGGTGCGTGGGTAGAGAGTAATTCGCAGCGGCGAGCTGCGTCTTTGGCCCCCTTTGGGCTTCTCTCTTTCCGTCTCTCTCTCGGCAAAAGCCAAATAGCAAACACATCAGCGCAGTGTGCAGGCACACATCAAACACGGAAATTTCCCCAAAATGACGTACGCGCTCAAGCTCTGGTACCCGCAGCAGCAGCAGCAGCAGTATCAGCTGTGTGTACATATGAGCCTCAGTACATGCATCGAGCGCAAGCTCGCTCACTCTCTCATCTCCAGAATCAAGCGCGAGTATAATTCAATCGAACGACTCTCTGATTACCCTTGGAACATCAAACATTATGCCGTGCGCATTTCTCTCTATCTCTCACGTACACACACACACACACGCATTGACATCGTTGAAAACAAAAGGCTCTGCTGCACATTTTATACACACAGAGACTCGGAGAAAGAGAGAGAGGATAACCAAAGAGTAAACTTGATGCATTATCGCGTGTGCCATTATCGTTAATTACACGCGTGCGAGCACCCGTGCTAGCGTGAACGAGCGAAAGAGAGAGAGAGAGAGAGAGGAAGGTACAGGCAGAGAGAAAGAGAGAGAGAGAGCAGAAATCCTTGGTTACACGCATTATTTACCGAGCTCGTTCGTATCCACTTTGACGTCGATTAGAGTCTACTCGACATATTTTTACTATCTCATCTTCGAAGCGCGGTAGCAACAGTATAGAAGCAGGACGCATATAAACTTTGTTATTTGTTGCGTATACTGCGTCGTCGTTTAGTTGATTTTTTTTTCGTTTATTCAAATGAGCCTCTTGCGGCTTGCACGTGGCTGAGAGTCTCGCGCTCGCCGCGCGCGCTTTAGTGGCAGATTTTTTTTTATTCGTTCTTTTGTTTTGCGCTGAATTCTGCGCGAGCCGAGACCTAGAGCGATGCAAAATATTCATAAGTTTCTCGCACGCGTTTATTTTTAAACCACATACAGTTATTAACAAAGAAGTTTTTTTTCAAACGCAATCGACTATGCTCGCAAAATTACCAATATATATCTAGAAAAATATGAAAAATCACACTTTTGATAAGCGCATTAAACGATGTATATTTCATTATTGAATGCGTGTACGTCCTGGTATTTACGACGCGTCATTTCGCATCACCGGTGCACATACGAAGAGCCAGGCTATTATTATCTTCGTTCTCTCGCATATTTCATTAAAAAACACGTGGATATGTGTATACACACACACACATGCGGACAGACGTAAACGAGCATTCGTGCAAATTTTATAAAAACGATTGGGTAACGAAACAAAAAGCCGAGCTACGCCGACGAGAGCCGCTTTTCGAGGTTGCGAAAATACAAGGCCAATGTATTCGAGCGATATTTCAATCAGTGAGAGCTTTCGCATAGCGAGAGAGTCAATTTACGAGAGCTCGTGCGCGTACCTCGTTTTTTTTTTTCATTCTTTTTTCACAATTCTTGTCGGTACGTAATTTCGAGTTTTTGTACGCACGAGTGAAAGAGAGAGAAAAAAAGAGAAAAACTCGATTTTTCGATTACAATGACGAGCAGTGTTTTTTTTATACATATAATACACTAACAAATGAACGACAAAAACACGGACGCATTTTAACTGGTTTAATCGACGAATAATAATGCCATAAGTACGGATGGGAAATGAGAAATAAGCCTCGTGTTGTCATATGTTATTTGCCATATATGAACGAGGAGACGAGTATTATCTATCTTGGAAGAACAAACATATCGAACGAAATGCCTGTATCGTTGCTCTCGATATATACCTACACTCAATTTTGTACAATGAATATATTTGTTCCTCCTCTTATTGAGCCTTAACGTTTGCTACTCAAACAAAAAAAAATCCAGTGCCGATTGTTCAATATTGACTAATCATCTTTCCAGCTAATTTATCTCAAAAGTTGACCACGACAAAAAAAACGAATGCCCGAGGATTCGATTCTACTTAAGGAATATTACAAACAAAAAAAAACATAAGCTAAAAATCAAATAACCCGTACCTGATATAGATGATGACGCCATTGGTGAAGATCCTCTTCCAGCCTTGCGGTACGGCGATGCTGTTCTCTTGCTGTTGCTGTTGCTGCTGCTGCTGTTGTTGTTGTTGCTGATGCTGCTGTTGTTGCTGCTCCTGCTCTTGCTGCTGCACACTAGCACACACTTCCATGGCGTCCTCGAGCACCTGCTGGACCGTGATAACTTGCTGCTGGGCCGCGGCGGCGGCCTCGGCGTCGCGCACGACCTGCTGGGCCACGAAGCTCGCGGCCTGCTGCAGCGCCACCTCCTGCGACTCGTGGCTGCTCAGGCTGCTGCAGCTCGACTCGGCGGTGTCGGACCTCACCGAGTCGCAGCTGCCGAGATTGGCGAAGGCGGCGTTCACCTGCTCGTCGCTCAGCTGCACGCCGCCCTGATGATGATGGTGGTGATGATGATGATGATGATGATGATGCTGCTGATCGTCGGCCTGGCCGTCATCTAGCGAGCTCTGGTACAGAGTGAGGCCCTGCGAGTCGCCACCGCCGCCGCCGCCACCGCCGCTTCCATCGCCGTTCTGCCTCACGTAGGTGACCTGCTGCTGGTGATTGGCGTTGGCGTCGCACGCGGCCGCCGCGGCCTCCTCCAGATCGAAGGCCTTGTCGTCGAGGCCGACGAACGCCCCGTAGCCGTTGACGGCGTAACCGTTGCAGCCCTCGAGCATGTCCTTGCTGATCTTGAGCAGCTTGAGGTGCTCCTCGTCGTCGTCGTCGTCGCCGACCACGTCCTTGCCGAGCACCACGGACTCGGCATCCTGATAGATGATGTCGCCGGCTTCGACCGCGGCCTCGAGCTGCGACACGACGAATTGGCCGTCGTCGCCGAGCTCGTCGTCGGCGGACTCGTCGTCGCTACCGCCCACGACCGTCTGCGATCTCGACTTGCCATCGACGTGCACCTCTAGTTCCTTGGGCAGCTGAAACTTGTCGGCGAACACCCAATTGTTGTCCTGCTGCTGTTGCTGCGTCTGGCCGAAGAGCGCATTCTGTTGCTGTTGCTGCTGCTGCTGTTGCTGGGCGTCGCTCAGGGCGCTCGCGAACGCCAAATTGTCGTTCGACACGTAAACGAGCACGCTATTCTGCAAGCTCTGCTCGTCGAGTTGAGATTCCACGGAGATGGTATTCTGTTGTTGCTGCTGTTGCTGCTGTTGCTGCTGCTGCTGCTGCTGCGGCTGTTGCTCAGACTTGCCGGCCATCGTACAGGTAAGCAGTACAGCTAGCGGCTGCTAATCGATGCGATACGAATGCTGCTGCGGGTGGCTGCATCACTGTAAGCTACCAACCGATGCCTGAACGTTGCTGTTGCTTAATGGCCGGGGCGAGCTTTTGTCGTTCGTTGCCAATGATGACTTCTGTGCTTGCTTCAACGCGAAGACGACGCTTTCCCTCAACGACTGCAACGACTGCAGCATTATCTGCAAAATCGCACGAGAAAAAGAACGTTAAGCAAAAGGAAATAAATTCAATGAGATTTAATTTTTTTCCGGTTCAGAAAAAAGCTCGCTCGCTGGTCGGATATCATACGCGTAGACACGCATAAACGTGTATAATCGTATTTGTAGCACGCCAAGTCCGTTACGAACGTGCAAATTAACAAAATGTTACACTGCTCCGTTGTCTCTCTCATACGTTCATCCATTCGTAATTTAATCCGCTTTCATTCGAATTAATCAATACAGCAGCCGTCGCCGCCGCTGCCGCTGCTGCTCGCGCGCGCACAGACACAAACTGCTGTATGTGTTTTAGCACACATCCACCCACGCGCGCCCGCGCTCGCTCGAGCTATTCACAGATATGTATTATGTATAGCTCACTCGCGTACAATATACGCGTGTGTATATACTTAATCCGCGCATAACAGAGAGGAGAGAGAGAGAGAGAGAGAGAGAAGCGGAGCAACAGAAGTAGCGGCCGAGGCTGAGGCAGCGTAGGTCTAAAATTAAACAAGCGCGAAATTTAATGAACGCCATTTTACTCGATGAGTTATAATGCGTGTGTGTGTGTGTGTGTGTGTGTGTGTGTATGTATGGATGTGTACACTCTGTGTATGTCTCATGCGAGAATATGTGTACACGTATAAAACAATATTGAAAGAGATTATATAATTCAAGCGGTAACGGCGAGGCTCACTGCTGTTGCTGATGCTGCTGTTGCAGAGAGAGAGGATGTATTTGTGTGTGTGTGTGTGTGCGTGCAACAGCAGCAGCAGCGGCACAACAGTCGATTCCGAAATTATTAATTATATTTTAATACAAAAGCCCCGGCATCGAGCATCGAGCTTACTTTCTCTCTCTCTCTCGCGCGCTTGCATAAATAACGATAATAATTATTATTACGACGACGATCCAGCCGTACAGTATCGAAAGCACATTATTAATTAATCGGCTGTAGAGCGAGAGCGGGTACGCGCGCCTATATAAATACATATACATAAGCATTATGTGTACACTGACACAACGCACACATCGACCGAGCGAGGGAATATACAATAATAAACACATACAGTCATAGAGAATCTCCAACTATATATGGTTGCCCTTTAACGCGCGCGTGTGTACGTATGTGTGTGCTATTGTTGTGTGCATAACAATGCGCGCAAATAATAAAGCTCATAGACCGACTGTATTACGCACTCGCTCGATGACAATCGCAATAATAAACGAGAGAGAGAGAGAGAGAGAGAGAGAGAGAAAAATGAAAGAAGAGAAAAAGTCAACAATTAGCAGGGCGACATACTCATGCATGTGTGTCGTGCATTTACTCCTTTCTTTGTGTATAATATGTGTCGCGTCGCTGCTACTCTACTCCTCGTGCTACAATGAGAGCTGCGCGCTCGTCTACTCGTACATAATGCGCCGAGAGAGCGCGTACATGCACTTATGCAATGTCAGAATTTAATTGGTGCAGCAGCGACGACGATCGTTGCAGCAGTAGTAGTATATGTGAACGAGACGATCATAACGGAGACGACGACGACGACGACGACAACGAGAGATGATATTTAATACTCGCGTCCTCCAATCACGATCATCCTCGATGCTCATCGCGCAGAAAGACAGAGAGCGAGATACGCGTCCGAGCGAGAGAGAGAGAATCAACGCTCGATAAAGCAATCCTCGTCGTCGTCGTCGTCGTTCACATGTGATGCACGCGCGCCGCGGCGGCACGTTATGTGCATCTGCATGCGAAGAAGATTAAAACGCGAATCGCGTGGAAAAAAAATGGCGTGCAAAGTAAATGAGATTTTGTGCCGAATGGATGCATCGTAACGTGCATCATCTACATGTGTACACACACATTTACACACACACACACACACGGACATGCATAGAGAGTCTCTATTATACACATACGCGGACGACGACGACGACGAGCGGAGCATGATTTACTACTTATAAAAATTGTTTTATTGCGCAATTCTGCCGCTCAAAGCAAAAGCAAACTTTATTGTCGTCCTCAACTCACTCGCGTGTGTGCATGTGTATTATGTGTGCTGCAGCGGCAGCAGCAGTGGCGGCGGCGGCGGACTCTATTCGCCTATTTGTATTACTCGCGCACACACACGTACATACATATACGTATACACGGACGCGAGCAGCGTACATCACGAGGAAAATACGATGACACGAAATTAACACGCGTCATTGGACGTTTTGCGTTTCGAGCTTTAAATTATCGTTATTATTATCGTTGCCGTTACGAGACAGCGAGAGCGAGAGAGATACAGAGCTACATAGGCTGCGTTTGGGCATGTATGTGCGTATATACGTGTGTGTGTGTGTGTGTACTTGCATGTGCACTGCTCTCGAAGAGCCTCGGTGCACTGTGATGTTTGCGTGCACGTATTATATACGCGCGACGTCGTCTCTAAGACTCTATAGGCAGCGATTCATTAAACGAGAAATACATATATATTTCAAGGTTGACTCTTTTATGCCTCTGCGCGCGCGCGCGCGTCATGCATGTGTGTTTTCCCTGTGTGTTCATTACACGCACGTAGACACACACACAGGCTCGCCAAATACGCTGTACGCGACTGAACTAGATAGAGCGAAAAATAATCGTAAATATAATTGATTTATATTATACGTTCGGAGTCTGGCATACATGTATATATTCTATATAGGAGGCACGCACATGCAGCACCGAACGCAGTATATATGTCTGTATATACACGCGCGCCGGGCCGATAAGGGTCAACGAACTCGCGCGAAGCGTTCCCGCGCGCGCTCGCATAGCACATGAAATTTTTCGAATCGGCCGAGTCTATACCGATACATCGCATTGACGTTTGCTACCGAGCTTTGACTTGTATGCATATTGTGTATTATACACCAATCGACGCGCGTGATTGCCGATTACAAATGCTATTCGATTAAAGAGAACAGAAACAGCAGCCGACAATGCGCGAAGGTTCTTTGCGAATAATTGCAATCCTTATCGATGCGCGCCTGCCTGTGCGAGTTCTTTGAAGTTCGAGCGCTTGCGCGCGAGATTGGAGAAAAAGAAGAAAAAAAAACGAGAGAGAGAATTCGCGAGACATTCGTATTTTGCGTCACGATAAGAGCCACTGCCTGTCGTAAATCTCGAGAAAAAAATTGCACTAGCGCACGCGCTCGCACACACACAAACGTACTTATAATATAATGCACTCGGGTCTCCCGATTTCGAAACGAGGCTTGCGAAGTTGCGTAAAAAGCACGGCTACTCGTGCTCGCACACACGCACACCAGGTAAAAACGAGTGCATGTGCATGTCGGCGCAGCAGCATAGAGTCCAAAAGTCGGTCTCGACTGCTGCTGCTGCAGCACAGGTATATAATGGTGCAACCTAACCTCTACGCGCGAAATGTATACAACGGCAGGCAGTGAGAGTTCGCACAGGTAGCCGCAACACTGTACTGTACAGTACAACTGCAGCAGCAGCCGAGATGTTGTACTACGCGTATACTGCACATGAGCGCGAGTGTGTGTGTGTGTGTGTGTGTGTGTGTGTGTGTGCGGCAGCAGTCTGCCTGCAGTTTGTTTACACGCACACGAACATATCGGAGCTCGATATCGTCGACTCGACGCGGCGTTGTGTTTTATCAAACAAATGCCTGTGCCACTGTAAGCATGCATGCATATACACACAACAACGGCGATATAAGCATCGAAACAAAAACAAGCGACTCAATTATGCACGAGGACAGCCTGACAGACGTCGTACAGACACGGACACACGCACGCGTTCGCCCCCCGAGTATGATACAGCGTGTAGCAGTAACCGGAGATTATTTTTTTATCGCTGAAACTTATGCCGCGCGAGTATAGTATGGTATAATAACTCACCTGATAAACGAGAATTGAAGAGCCATTGACGCCGAGGATGCATTAGCAGGTGCTGACGAGAGAGGACGACGATGTGGGCACAATTTCTGCATTCGATTATCTGAACAGAGTATCGTATGGGAAAAAACTGCACTGAGATTCTTTTATTTTTATTTCGAGTTGTATATTTAAAGGTGCGCGCACTTTTGATTTTTTTACAACACACTTTTGAAAACTGACACAAGCGCGCACTTTCGAGTATCTATTCGCGAATAATAAAACACTTTGACACACAAACTGATTTATCCTTGTACATTGAAAAACGTACTCGAAGACGATGCAATTTAGTATCCACTCACTGACACACGCGCGCGCGCGACAACAAACACCGACTGCGGCCGTACATAAACAACTGCTCGGTACTGCACTGAACTGGCCTATAGGTTTTAAATCGATCGAGTATAAAATTCGCGCGCGATACTACTTTTGCCTGCACTTTTTTGCATACACACGACGAGAGGTTATGCTGCTGCTGCTGCATCCAGCCGCACTATACAACACACGTATATAACACGAGAGGAGAAGATGAAGAAGAGGCAGCAGCAAGGAGAACGATGGCCTTTTTTATAATCGTCGTCATCTGTGCACGAGTCGGAGAGATGCGATTATTGCTCGGCTTCGCACTCGCGCTATATACTACTGACACACGTATGTATAACAAACACACCTTCACTGCTGCTGTTGCTGCTGCTGTGATGGGAGTACGATGGAAAAATCCGTGCAACGGAGAAAGATGCACTCGGAGAGAGATACAGACACTGCACCAGCACGCGATATATATACATACAAATATGTATAACACAAGAAAGAGAGCGACACACTGCTGCTGCTGCTATGTTATATATACTCGTTGCTATTTCATTTAGCTGCTGCTCGCTTTTGCGCGCTGCAATGAATGAACGACTCTTGCACTGCTGCTGCTGCTTGCGAGCGTGTGTGCGGTAACGAGAAGCCGTGGTGCACACTGCACAATATATAATATGAAGTGGTAGTAGACGACGACGACGACGACACTGTTGTATGCATGTGTACACCTTATAGGTAGTGCAAAGTTTTGCACGTATACACAAGCATGCACTAACACCGCACACTCAACACTCACTGAATACTAGAGAGCATATACAAGTCGAGAGATATGTAAACGAACTGAGAGATATACATGTATATTTATAGGAGGAGAAAAAGAGGTGAGAGAGATAATATCGTGCACCGTATATATGTATAATATGCCTATACGTATATTATAACAGGGACAGAGAGAAGCGAGAGAGGACACACAGAAGTCGCTGCAGCTCCTCACGCGCGCACTCGTCGGCTGTGCGAGCGTCGAGCCCGTCGAAAACTGCGCCTCCGCTGACAAACGCGGGGATATCGGAGTTATGCTTCTCTCTCTCTCTCGCTCGCTCGCTCACTCTAACGCGCCCCGCGCACTCCGCCACCAGCCGCTGCTGCTCCGACCGACCGCACCAACACACGGAACGGCGAAATTCGCACACAGACAGGCGCACTCGAGCGCCGAGAAACACTGGGAGAGACAGACACACAGACGCTTTCGCAGACTATAGAGTGCGCGCGCGAACCGCCACCAGTTTGCTCGCGCGATGTTCTCGTCGTATATACAACGCACACACACACACATACATACATATATACACAAGAGAAAGAGAGAGAGAGACTCTGCCGCTGCTGCTGTCACTCCCCCTCTTTTCTGCACAGTGCAGAATACGCCGAGCGAAAGAGAGAGAGAGAGATCGAGCCGGCGTATCGTATCGTATATAGTTGGTTAGCGTAGCAGCTGGTGTCGCTCTTTGTCGGTGCTGCCTGCTTCTGGCTGCGGCTGCTAGAAACACCGTCGTCGCCCCAAGTCCGTACGATATCGCATACATATAGTACAGTACGTGTATGTGTGTGAGTAATTTTACCCGTGCCGCTGCTATCGGCCTCGTGCGTTTGGAGCAGCAGCAAAACCTACCCCGCCGGTTACTCGTGCAGCACAGCACGACGAGAGGGGAATTTGCGCGCGCGCGCGCAAAACGTTCGAAGCGAGAACTTCGGCCGCCTGTGTATATGCATGCGCTGTAGGATATATATTGCACGCGGTAGTATAATGCCAGAGTGTACGGAGAAAACGGGACGAGTCACGATACGTGTCAGCGATTCGCGAAATTTTCTGCCAAGGGATCGTCCTGTGTGCATGCAGGTGCTTACACGCGCGAGCATAATGCAAGTTGCATTATGAGGCGAAAGAGAGATGCCTAATCGGATATCGGAATTCGATCAAGGTAAAAAGACGCGTTTCTTTTCGAGCGAAAGCGTTTTGTTTTTTTTCTTTGTGCGACGATGCGTAATATTTCATTGAAAATCAGTCGATTTATAAGCAGAGTGCGAAAGAATATTTTAATTAGATTTCTTCGTGGTAATTACGTAGATCAATGTCTTTCCACGGTCTGATTTATTAATTGCTCCCACAAAGAGACGTATTTTTAAATGAGACACTAATCGGTACGAACCTCGGCATTTTTTCCTCGAGCATAGCAATTTTCGAAACAAAACCAAAGCGGCGTATCGAGATCGCTCGAAAAATTCACGAAACGTATATTATGCTCTCTCTTCTCGCCCGAAAGATCATTATGTCCCCGTATACATCCTGCCTCGTGTGTATACCGTATATTAGAGGGAATCGCGCGACAATAGGTTCATCTTCGAATCTCGTGCGGTGCTGCTACTGCTGTGCGACGTGCTCCATCGTAGTTGTGTCTGTCGCGTAGCGCGTTCGAGCCGATTCAAGGGGATGTGCATTTTTTTTCTATACCCTAAACACAGACACATACACGTACATATTATTTCTAAAAAGCCCAAGAGACCCCAATGGGGGATCACGTAGTTTTCATTTCTCTGTAATAAGTTTGGGTACAATTTATACTCTACGTTTTCGCGTTGAGAATGACATGTTCTGAGTCTCGACTCCATGTAACAAGAATAAATTCACAAAGCAGTGTTTCCTTTTTCTTCTTCTTCTTCTTCTTTTTTTGGTATCATAGAAGCGGATATTGTACGAGGATATTAGTAGCTCTGAACAATTATTCTTTCTCTTTGCCTCGACGATCTGCGTGAACAAAGGTGTATATTGCGAAACGATGGGCTTCTTAGCAAGTCAATCATCGTCCTAAATTTGCCTGTTTAAAACCAATTCCAAAATCGACGTCTTATACGTATTATCAACTTCAAATATGATGTAACCATGAATTTCTGAAAAAAAGAAACAAGATAATTTGACGATTATTTTTCTAAAAATCCATATCATTAGCAATTAACAAACAGGATCGGAACTTGCCTGATATAATTTCGGTAGATGACGGTTGACAATTTTTTCGATTCCTTTTTCTTTCATATGAAATTTAAAATGACTTCGGAGTAACCGGCTTTCTTCCTGATCATCGCTACAATAAAACGAACATAAAAATTAGAAAACATCCTTACACTACTCGCATAAACTTGATTTATATAATAATCATACAAAAGTGCGTCGCTAAAAACCAAATTAAAACCGCGAACATCCCGCCACGCCAAAGTCATGTCTTGGCTAAATCCCGCTGAAGTTCGACGAAATTCGTCATAAACGATGAAATGAACGTTCTAATTCCTTCGCTCCCGCGATTATGAATAATTTAAAAACTGCTTCGACTGACTAGGCACCCGAGCCACTGCGACCCTCTTTCGATCGTACACTATGTACACGAGTTTCGCACAACTCGCGCGACGAATGGCATTAAAATTGAAATAACGACGCTTATAAACGCATTCGCGAACACATTTCGCGTAATTACATCGCGAATATGCTCGACCGTGCCGCAATAATGGGCTATCTTCGATTCCGCGCGTAGGAGCAGATGGCTCGATGTCAGTTGCCCGGAAATAACACGAATTGGAGAAGAAAAAAACTTAACCATAAATAATACTTTTGTCTATATATCGTAATGATATTCAATATCTCTCCTACGCACGATATAATGTATGCGTCGTTCAACTCACCTTATGTTCACTTGTCCCAACATTATAATCCGCACGTAAGTTTTATAATCGGAGTCGTGTATACTGCAACAACGAGCTCGACCGGCTCTCGCATTATATGCGCCGCGTTCGAATCGCGAGGGTGAGGGTATTTGCGGTCGTTGATAGTTTTCGATGCACACATTGTTCGATCATCTGAAATACAGAATTATGTTCGAATGTATAATGATGGTTGTAACGATGAAACAACGAAATTATGCTTTTATCTACGCTCGCAACTCGAGTACTGCGATGAAAGGATCCTCGATTCACATTTGAATTTTGCAATTTCAGTTGCAGTGGAATTCGAAAACTAACGAAAAACACGATGCCGATATGTGGTAGAAGCGCACACATTTCGAATCGGCGTGAACGAACGAGACGTTTTAACGAGAAAACCTTCGAAACCGTTGCAAATGCAATAACATTTAGAAATTCGTCCCTTACCTTCGAACTTTCAAAATGTAAGGCAGTGGGCAGTTACTTATTTTACCAACGGTGCGCAAAAGAAGACAGCGACTCGAGCACCGCGAGCGGTCAAACTTTGTACTATAATGTCTGCTCGTTTACACTTTACTTTACACTCTGCTCCTTTGCTTGTTTATCTAATGTCTCGCTGTTTTTTTAAAATTGATTTTCTATTCTCTAGGGCATAAGTTTTGATTTTTTGTGTGTGTGACAAACGAGTATCAACAGCTATCAAAAATGTCGTACTGGTACTCTGGCTCTGAGAGCGAGGACGAGCAGCTCAATTTCAATTTGTTTGCTCGCAAAAATTTTGGTTTCGTTGGTTTACCTGAAGAACAAGAAGTCAAATTCCGCAATCTTGTTATGGTGAGTACTTGCACGAAATCCACTTGCTTTGGTACAAATATTGAACAATTTTTTTTTCTCTCTAGCAACTTGGTGCTGTGTGCAGTAAAGGTCCAAAATATGTTTTTACTTCCAAAGATTATTATGAAGATGTGAGAGACGATCCACAGCAGATAACTGGTACACTCTATGATATGGCATACATTAGAGACTGTGTGGATGCAAACAGATGCTTGAGCATTGATCAATATAGATTACATCCAAAACCAGTAGAGAAAAAGGATTATCGTGACTTCGATCCTTGCTGTAACGCTATGTAAGAGCTTATATTTACAAATGAGTAACCTTTTTATAATGAAATGTGAATAGCAGAACTTAAATTTTTGACAGATTCTGATGACTTTCATATTGTTGATTTTTTAATTCATTTATATAATAATTTAATTTAAATTATAGGTTCCACAGCGATAAAGATAATTGTGACATTTGTTATGCAAATCTAATTGAAAATCCTCCTCCGCAAACAATAACTAAGCCACTTCTACCTCCACCACCCAAACCATCGCTTGTTCCTGTTAGTGCACCCAGAAATAATGTTTGGCTCTCTAATAATGCACCTCAGTAAGTAATCATTAGAAAATCAGTAAGACACGGTAAAATAAATTATTGATAATAAATTTTTTGTTTATAGAGTATGGGAACACTGGGAAAAAAAATTACTGTTAGATTATATTATTCAACATGAAGCATACTTTCAAGCTAAAAGTCCAAGCTTATTCAAGAGGATTTTTGCTGAAGGGGTAAGTAATACATAAAAAAGCAAGAGCATAAAATTTTTGAATTTATTTAGAACAGGTAAATTAATTGATATATTTAATTATTTTTGCAGTATCTTAGTCACAGATCACCTGAAAGCATGAGAGTCTATTTTCGTAAAAGAATATTGCGAAACATTGAATCTTTTGACTTACCAAAACCTATCGTCAAAATATTTAAACAAGTTAGGGTAAGTGACTTTATTATCATATGATTTTTGACCAATTTCTAATGTTGTTGCTTAAATGTCTGAAATATTTAATAAAATATTTGGTATCACTCAATTTTTGTTTTAGGATGCAGGTTGTGTTGCCAGGTTTAGTACAAATAAGCTGAAATAAATCCAACGAGACAATTGTGTAATACAAAATAAAACGGAGAATTGTAAATTCGGAGCAAACTGTAAATCTACAACTAGAATTTAGAATAATGTAAAAATATATTTGTTTGTGTTGAAGATTGAATGTGCTGAAATGAAATATGATGTGAATGTTCAATTTAAGGAGTATTTTTCGCGAATTATCGTAGAATTTTATGATTGTGCGACCGATTAAATGATGAAGTGAATTAATCAATTTTAAGCTGCTAAAAGTAATCGTGATTCTGATTTATATGTAATTTACAAATCATGTCATTTTTATATAGTTTGCAAGAATTTTAAATTTTACTTTAATAATGGTGTTTTAAATTTTTATAAGTAACAACATGAATTGTAACATCGCTATACTTTAAACTGTCATCTTCGTATCTATGTGAATTTTGCATGTAAGTAAAAAAACAACCTATTTTCAAATATAATTTTGAAGTGACTCAAAGCTACAATATTGTTTATGTGTAAACCTACGGAATAATACTAAACATTTAAATGTAACATACGATCGAAACCTATCCACACATCCGCGCAAAATGCCGCATCTCTCGCATTGTAGAACGACCCAAGCAGTCCTGTATATATAAGCAACTCAGGGAAATTTCTCGAAGTATTCGCCCGTTGTACGCAATTGTATAACCGCATGCGCGATATGTTTTTTTTTGTTCGTTCTACATGTAACGTTACGAAAATGCGATGCGCGCGCATACGCGACAGTCGACCGTCATCACTACCAGCCAGCCCAGAGGTATATATAGTGATATTTCCCGCGGTACATTCGACGTAACTTTGAGTTAGCGATTCTCAGCGCAGCCTATAACGCACGATTCTACAAAAGTCGGGAGCCTTCGAAGCTCGCGGACGTCAAGTCAAGTCAGCTCCGATTTTTCCGAATACTCTGGATACACGCAAGACTCGAGGGATAAAACCCTGTTATCAATTAAAACGATTCGTGTATTAGTACCAATTTTTGTGGTGGTTTCTATAACGCATCATCGTAGCAGCAGCAGCAGCAGCGCACGGGACTGTACTCATTGTACACGGCAGAGCAGTAACACCTAGAGTTACATACAGGAGCGCACGATTTTTCCGCAGCGCGCACGTTTCGTGCCTCTCTCACTCTCTCCCCCCCGCATCTATACCCTGCGCAAAGTCTTCGACTCCGACTCCGGAGTACGCTTACGACTCATTTCTCGCTACAACGTGTTACGAGGAGCAGCGTCAGAGCCATCAGTTTTCAAGCAACCACGTCCGAGTCAACGACTACGAGACGACGTATCAGTTTCGCATCAACCCGTGAGTTCCGAGGTAAGTGTTTCTCGCTCGAGCACCCGCTTTCGGTATACGCGACGACGACGATAACCTCTGCCGCGGAACTTCGTGGCTGACTTTGTCTGTCTCTGTCTCGCTCCGTAGATTCCCGATCGAGTTCGCGAATGGCCGTTGGTCGCGCGATCGATTCTCCTGACTCATTATAACATTATGTGTATGTTGTGTGTGTGTGTGTGTTACACTGTGCGTGGCAACCCGCGGACGAAGCCTCGCTGCAATGGACGACGACGACGACGACGTTGATACTTTTTTTGGTTGGTCGCGCTCGCTCGCTCGCCATTGAAATATTTTCGCACGACGATGTTATATATCTCGTAGACGATGTCACATGACGCAGAGAAGGCAATCGCGCGTACATCGGAAATTACTATCTTTCGTCATATAGTCAATCGTCGAGACATTGGCTTTTCGCGCAATCCCTCTTTCTCTCCCTCTCGCTCTCTCTCTTTCGAGTTAGTTCATGCAGCCAACGTTATCGTTCAACAGCGTGACACGCACGAACTCGTCTGGAGCGCGTAACGTACATCGTAAATTCGTCAACACCTTGGTGACGACGACGACGACGACGACGACGAAGAAAGACAGTGACGAATTATTTGTAACACCATCGAGAACGATAGATGTACAGTTCGGGAAAAATCTAGAAATCCGTTGATGGCGCTTTAACCCAGAGAGAGTCGTGATGTATGAACAGCTCGCTGGCTGGCTGACTCTCTCTGTATATGTATCGTGTATGTGTGTGTGTATAGCTCTCTTCTCTCTTTCGCCAATGTTGAACGCGGCCAAGTCCTTGCACGCGATCGCACGAGAAACTTTTCGAAGTTTCGATACGTACACACATCTATACATACGACGCACACACATTCGAGCGGTCGTCAACGACGTCGTCGTCGTAGCGGTTCAACATCAAAGCGTTTGTGATTCTGCTATATGCTTGGTTCGAGCCGTTTAGCTTACTCTGTGTATCGCTCGGCCCATTGTTTAGTCAGTGGGAACTTTTAACGAAGCGATCGCGTTTGATGACAATTAAAATCGATCGAATTATCGGCGCGAGCGAAATAATTACGTTCATCCAAATGTGTACGCTTGTAATAACGTAACCATTGAGATAATCACCATGGGACACACGTACACAATGCACGAAATGGGGGGACTCGACCTCGCGCGTTGCAGCTTACGATATATCCTCTCTCGAATATACAGATATATAGGTATAGATGCAAGTGTAGCAGCAGCACAGCACAGCTGCTTCTCGTGATGTTTCCGCGATCCCTTGTACGTATTCTCTCTCGGAGCGATCGATGAATTTTTCATGTTTCAATTTTGCCTCTCGGCCAGATTGGGAATGTGACTCCAGTTGGACGCGTGTAATACGGGAACGCAATTGATTCGGTCGTCAACTTGTAGTAGCAATAAATAGTGGGAGAATACAAGGTGTGTCTTTGCATGTATGTGTGTGTGTGTGTGAATGCGAGTGCTCGTCGTACTCGGTGTCTCTCTGTGTGTATGTGCCGTGTACGAATCTATAATAGTGCTATTACAGAGGTACTCGATAAATAGCAAAAAGTTATTCAAAGTGACTTTGCGATTGAGCTCTCTCGAATAGGTTCGCAGACATCGCGTTACAACGATATCAAATACAACAACAACAACAACAACAACAACAACAAAACGTCGAATGCATAAATTGGTAACATAGACAACGCGCGCGCGACGATGAGGCCATCATCGCAAAACACATGCGCGTCTACGATGACGATGATGACTAGTGCATAAAAATTGCCTCGCGTTCTTACGTATTATATTCGACCGTTCGAGCTGTCGTCGTATAGTCGCTTGAACTGCTCTCAACTCTGTGCGTGTCTCGTGGCTGGCGATCCATTGAAAATGCTCATCTGATTTCTTTCCTTTTTGCAGAACGTTGCTGCGAAAAAATAATCGAAAGAGGCTTTTTTGAAAAAACTATTGGTCATCAATTTAAAGCGACACAACGGAGAATCCAGAGAACATGGTTAAGGAAACTACTTTCTACGACATCCTCGGTGTCAAACCAGGATGCTCCCAAGACGACCTGAAGAAGGCTTATAGAAAGCTTGCTCTTAAATATCATCCGGATAAAAATCCCAATGAAGGCGAAAGGGTTAGTATATGACACATTTTCATCTATACTTAGTGGCTTATAATCAAATTAAAACAATTAGTATGTTTAAAAAAGAATTATTAAGAGCATCTGTGCAGCATGTACAGCGTTAGTTGAGATGATTTGAATTTTCAAAACATTTCAATTCTGTTAGCTTCCATTTTAACAATGATAAAATTGCATGAATTTTTGCTTTAATTATGAAATTTTTTGCAGTTTAAACAAATTTCACAAGCCTATGAAGTCCTTTCGAATCCAGAGAAGAAAAGGATCTATGACCAGGGTGGTGAGCAAGCTCTCAAAGAAGGAGGCATGAACAGTGGTGGCTTCTCCTCACCCATGGACATTTTTGAAATGTTCTTTGGTGGTGGTGGCATGGGTGGTGGATCTTGTCGTAGCCACAAGAGGAAAGGTGCAAATGTGGTCCATCAACTGTCAGTATCTCTTGAAGAGCTTTATCAAGGCACTGTCCGCAAGCTAGCTCTCCAGAAGAACGTCATTTGTGACAAATGCGACGGTATTGGCGGTAAAAAGGACGCTGTTGAACAGTGTGGTACCTGCCAAGGTTCAGGTGTTCAAGTTTCCATCCAACAACTTGGACCTGGTATGCTGCAGCAATTCAGAACCACTTGCGGCGATTGCAAAGGTCAAGGAGAGCGCATTAGACCTAAGGACAGATGTAAACAATGTAACGGCAAGAAAACTGTCAGGGATCGCAAAATCCTTGAAGTTTATGTTGATAAAGGTATGGTTGATGGACAGAAAATTACCTTTTCCGATGAAGGTGACCAAGAACCCGACAGAGATCCCGGTGATATCGTCATTGTGCTTGATGAGAAACCACATGAATCTTACAAGTAAGTTCCAAAAAATTCAATGTGCATAAAAACCACTATAAACAATGTCATTTTGTATCTGTTACTAATTTAAATTCCACTTTTCAGGCGTTCCGGTAGCGATCTCATTTTGCGTATGAATCTAACTTTGACTGAAGCTCTTTGTGGTTTCCAAAAATGTGTTACAACTCTCGATAATAGAGTTCTCGTGATAAATTCGCCTCCTGGTGATGTTATCAAGCACGGCGATGTGAAAGCTGTGCCCGATGAGGGTATGCCTGTTTGGAAGGATCCATTCAACAAAGGCCGTTTGATCATTCAGTTCATCGTAGATTTCCCCAACAGCATTGACCCAGCCATCATCCCAGATTTAGAAAAATGTTTACCAGCTCGTGAACAAGACATTGTTCCCGACGGTGCCGAGGAAGTCGCGCTTCTCGAAATCGATCCAGAACAAGAGTGCAGAAGGAAGGAGAGAGCACGTCAACAAGCTTATGAAGAAGACGAAAGTGGTCCATCTCGCGTACAGTGTGCTACGAATTAACGTCGTTCTTTCGTATCTCTTCCGATATTTTATTACAAAAATGTCGCGTGTAAACTGTCTGCTCTACTGTTGTTCAAAAATACTGCTATCGGGTGGATGTATTACTTACTTTCGAAGAATAAGCTCGAGATTGCCGCGTTGCTGCCGCTTTATCTTTTACGAGTAATTTCCTTAGCTTAATTTTGATTTTATTTTTGGTATCTATTTAAGACAACTTTGGTATATTTTTCGTTGTGAATATCAAGTTAAAAAACATTCTGCTACTATAGACTTGCTTTCCAAATATCATTGAGAGCTTAAACGACTAACACGACTGTCTCGAGCTTGGAAAATCATGAATTTATTAAAATTTTTATTACTTTGTCAAAAGATTTTTATTAATATCTCAATTCACTAGTTACTACTATAAAAGGTTTAAAATTGCGATATTACTTTTTTTTCGTCTTTAGTTATAGTTAATAATAATTTAGTACAATAGATTATAAATTCTTAAACTTTGACGAAGTATTATCATATTTTAGGATATTCATGATCGATCAGAGAAATTTTTACGTGCAAAATAATGAAAGATCAAATCATTTTCATATATGATGCAAATCGAATAATAATAAAGTAAAATCTCACAAGAATTATCTTCATCAAAAACTGCCTCACATTTAATCAATTTTGCTCAATTGACCATCATACCAGTAATATTTATTTAATTTATTTATTTTTTGCTCTATTTTTTTTTTATTATATTTATTGGACGAAAACCGAGCAATGTCTTTGTTGGATTTGAAGTGCTTCAAAGCTCGTTAATTGAGTAGTTCTCTAATATTGTTAGAAACTAACTTCCTAATGTGGAGTTCAATAATTAATTTTGGAGCAAATACATCAGATCCATGTCTTTGAAATATACTAGATTGAAAATTTAGTTAAATTCACAAAAATGTATCGGATGGGAAAGAATCAACATAGTTTTAGTGTTAACTAGATTATGATACATTTTAAATGAGCGAAATTTGGACATTGATTGCAGTACAACTACAACTACTGAAATGACCTTCCTGGACAATTATTGTTTACTTTTATAGTTAAAATTCGAACAGTTTCTTTGTTGAAATGGTTTCGATTGTTAGTTCATTTTAGAAATATTCATTTTTTCACTTTAAAATTAAAAAATCAATGCATTAAGAATAATTATTGTACCTATAGAAAAAATTCATTAGTAAAATAATACCGATAATTATTCACTGATAATATTAATATTTTATCTATTCTGAATGGCAATAAAATATTCTGGTTAGTATTTTAATTCCATGCTTTTATTTTGAAAATTTTAATAAAAAACTATTCCTACACTTTGATAGTATCTTTTATTTGAATTATCTTAGTCAACTGTAACATTTAACTATTTTTAAAAATGAAGTAAAAATGAAACATTGACAGTAAAAAAGGTTTTTAAAATAAACTAGATGAAGTAACAAGAAACAAAATAATTTTATTAAAAAATTCAATTCAATAAATTTCATTTTTTGTTCAGGAGAATTATGTACATAATTTGATCGTATCTTTTTTGGTACTTATATTGAAAGCTTCAAACACTGTATATTAGTAGAATCACCATTATATTTATTAATCTGCCTTAATAAATGTAATTTTGACTGCTTACTGTGAGTAGTATGCAGCTCATATAAAGTGCACAAATTGAGTAAAATAACTTCTTGTAGACTTTGAGGGACTTTCAATGTTACCACATTTTCCATTAACTTAACTGCGGCTTCCAATTGTCCTGTGTACAACAAACACACAGAAATGTTATTTTTTAGCATTATATTTGATGGATCCAACTCTGATGCTTTCTCAAAACACTTGAGTGCTTCTAGGAATGAGTTTTGAGCCACAGCCATAAGACCTCTGTCAACCTGATCTCTAATTTTTTCAGCTTGGGAGTTTTCAGTCTGAGAAACAGGGATATTTTTTTCAGCAGCTGGTACATCTCCCAATGCTAAATGCATTCTTCCCTGAGCAGCTTTGAGAATTTCAGCTTGATCTTTTCTCCAATTGCCATTCAACAGTAATTCCATTAGTTCATTAGCTAAAATATAATTTTTCATGTGTAAACTACAATTTGTAATAGAAATTATAACTCTCGCTTGTCTGGCTTTCCATAAGTTGAGAGAATCATTCTTTTCTGCAGCAGTATATCGAACGGGATTGCCTTCTTCTGATAAATCTGACTCTAAATTTTTGATGATTTTTTTTACAATAGCTAATAAAGCAAATAAATTATCAATAGCTTTTTTGCCTTTTCCATAATGAAATGGTACTTCTGCTAAAAGTAATCTAAAAGCAAATGATGCCATTGATCCAGTTCTAGTTCCGTAAAGTTCTGGATAAAACATAAAGTACATGTCAGGTTTATCTAAAGTTCCAAAAAGTACCGATTCACTTTCTAATACATCAGCTTGACGAATTTTTACAAGCAAACATAATCTAGTGAACCATAGCTGTAAAGAGTAAGGTGTGTGTTTGCTTGGCTGATTGGCTTTACCAAAACCTTGTCCATACAGAGATAACAGACGTCCTGTTAAATTGACAGCAGCTCGATAACAGCCTCCTTTGATTAAAATTCTTAGACCTTTCTCATCCTGAAATTCAAATTAGAAGTTAATATTTATAAGGAATCTCTAGAGTGCAATGAAAAATTTACCTGTGGCACATCTAGCATTGTTGCAGCATTTCCTTTTGCGGCTTCTTCCTCACCCAAGAAATAGACAACTGCATCTTTCAAAGGGTTGGTCATATCTTCCGCAATCGCAAGCCCTGGCATTGTTAAATTTTCTTTATCGACATTTTGAGTTATGCCTGGCGAAGTAGCAACCGAACGCAATAATTTCGACGTGCTAGTGGAAGGTATCCATGCATCTCTGTGGCAATCACTGATTATAGGTTGATCACTCAATTCATCATACGTAGAATCGGATTCAAAAATATTTCGAGAAGGATGTGCAGTTGGTTTGGTATTGACAGTTTGAGCGAACAAGTCTACTGGAGACGATGAAACAATTTCGTCGAAAATTGATCTGGTACTATTGTTGAAGTAACTGCCCAAGTTCGCAGATGCTGAAGCATTATTACTTTCTTCATTTTGATTCATTTTTCTTATTTTTTTAGTATAAAGTATTCAATTCATTTAACGTTTATAAATTTAGCTATCATGTAAGCAAAGATTCTCACAATGTTGAAAAACTTTTTCAACTGAATTCAGACCTAATCAAAATTTGATCTTGAATTAGATCCGTATAATTCTAATGTACACAAAGTTGGCTGACAGAACACTGAACTGACAGTCGACAGCTGTGTGTCAACCATGTGTAATAAGGGTACGCAGTACGCACGCAAACTGACGGTTCAGACGAAAACGTGACAGCCAATGACGGTCTTTTTTATACGTCTATATTGAAAGCTCACTGAATCAATTACTTGAACGAAAAATGAAAAAAATCTTTATAATTTTCATTTATTCATCATTTTTATTATGAAGATAAAAAATATTGCATGTTTATGTACATTTTGATATCAAAAAGATAAACATTCTTTTAGATGTAATGGTTTTGCAGGCCAAAGACGAAAAATATGTTCTTTGCTTTTCCACTTATTTTGATAACTCACACAGTATTGCTTACATTGGTAATACGTCATTTTTTTCGGATGTTGAGCGATTTTTGTTGAATTTGAATATTGATCATAAACCGCTAGAAATGTTTTAAATAATTCTTTTCGACTAATCCTGAGAAGATTTGTATTTTTCTTGTTTTTTGTTGCTCCTTGTTTCAGACCATTGACAGATATTTCTAGGGACCTGAAAAAGTTCAAATGGTTTTGAAAAAAGAATAAAGGTTTTTCCTTCAAAAAATGCTTATATGCAACTTACTTTTCTGAAACATCGCACCATACGATACTGGAAGGACATGGTCTCAATCTAATTCCATCTTTACTGTGTTCAAAAGCCATTAATGACTGGTTGATAACTGGAGCTTTTGTATTGGGATCAAATCTTTTGAACAGCCCTCGTTCCATTGAATCAAGAGAATAAGGACAACCACCACCAATAATGATACTTTTGAAATGAATAGGTTTGATTAGCAATGTTAAAAGAGCCCCCTGAACTCCCATAATATTCCACCTATAAGAACAAAGTAATAATTTGTTAAAATAAAAAGAATTATAAATAGTACAATGAATAACTTACTTAGACATTTTATCAGAGCAAGATAAACTCAATGTTCGATCACCTCTTCCTGGTTTGGTTCTAAGGGGACCTAGCGTATGGAAATCAACACCTTGTCCATGTTTATCTTGTTTTCCATTTTCAATACATTTAGCTCCAGTTCTATGGATGTCTTCAACTTCCTGACCATATTCCTGTTCAAATGAACCTTCATCACTTTTTCTCATCTTTTTTGGAGGACTTTGAGAAACATCTATTTTAGATTTTGGAATAATAGAGCAGTCACCACATGGTGTTTGACTAGAGAAAAAGTGAAAGTTTACATCTTTCATTTCAATTTTACGTTCTTTTAAATAAAATATTTCACTTTTGTCTTCATTTATAGCTATTAAAATTTGATGATATAAATAACGTATAAAAGCTCGTCTGGTAAGAATTTCTGCATGTGAGTCATTTAATTTATTACCAAGATTGCAATACTCTGTGTTTTTCAATTCTTTACCACTAAGGCACTTTGTTCCTGTACATAAGCTAACAACTTTAAAATTATTCAAATTATCTTCTAATACCACACCAGATAAAATTGTCCATTCTTTTTCTGTTGGTTTACCAGTTTTCTTTAAATAAGAGTATTTTTCTAAACATAACTGAGCAATTTTATCTTTAAAATCCATTATTGCAATAATTATGATTAACTAAATTATAAATCTGGTAATTTAAAAATTAATAAGATTATTCTTAAAAAATAATATTTTTATGCAACATTGTCAGGATTCCAAGCATATTTTTCTTGAGGTAAAGAGGATAATTCCTTCATGTCCTCTTCACTGATTTCAAAATCTAATTTAATATTATCTTGAATATGTTCTGTCTTAACAGCTTTAGGTATTATTGCTAAAAAATATATATGATTAATAAATATATTTTCACTCTCAATTTTAAATAGGAATCATTCGTTTACCTAATCCTCTCTGTAAAGCCCATCTAAGTAAAAGTCTAGCTGGAGATACATTTAGTTTAGTTGCAATTTTTTGTACTACAGAAGATCCAAGTAGTTTTGTGTGATCATTAGGATCACTGGTACCCAATGACGAGTAAGCTTGAAGCAAAATTCCTTCTTTCTTGCAATATTCAATCAGTTCATCTTGACGATAATGTGGATGACATTCAACCTAATAAAATATATAATTGAATAATATTAACTTTCTAATTATTTTACTTGTTTGATATGCATTATACCTGATTAACGTCGGGTACTACACTTGAGTGCTGCTTTAAATGTTCCAAATGTTTGATAGTAAAATTAGAAACTCCAATGGATTTAATCAATCCTTTTCGTTTCAGCTCCACAAGAGTGTCCCAAGTTACAACTCTGGCAGAAGCATTCTCTGGGGAATTTTCAATTAATCTGCCTTTTCCTGGCCAGTGAATTAGACAAAGATCCAAGTATGTTGTATTTAAAAATTTTAATGAATTATGGACAGATTCGCGGATTTTCTCAGGATCTCCACTAACATTTGGTGCTGTCAAAAATTCATGATTATAAGTACTAATAACTATGTAAATAAAGTAAAAAGATTGATTTGTTTACACACCAAGTTTAGTTGTGATAAAAAGGTCTTCTCTTTTCAGATTGTACTTGGGTAATAACTTTTTCAAGGCCAATCCAATAGAATTTTCATTTTGATAAACCACAGCGGTATCTGTTGATTTTTTAATACATGTCAATAAGTTTATTAATCGTATACCTTTAATACTATTACTTTAATAACTAACCAATTGATCTGAATCCAACCTCCAAACTTTCATCAAGTACTCGTTCAATTACTTCATCGCCTCTAATTTTGTAAGTACCAACTATAAAAGAATATCATTTTAACATTAAAATAAAGATAAAAAGGATATTGACAACTAATCAAAAGTTGAACGGTAATTCTAATGAAAAAAGCTGTACAAAAAAAACATAAACTTACTGCCAACAAGTGGCATTTCTGTTCCACTCAACAGCTTAAAGGTTTTTTTTATGATCGACATAGCGTGAATCCAAATCAATCAGCGATAAACGATCGTTGAAAATCAAAATTCAGACGGTAAACCGAATTCGTTCCTGCGAAAATCTAACACTTACTATACACGATCGCTGGGAGGACTTTAAAAAGTTTGTCAACACAGACTTTGGCATCGACCGACTCGTATCGGCACACGAGCGAGAGGTTTGCTAGCGGCCTCGGGCTCGGAATTATTGTTTTTATTGAATTAATTACACGCAGCCAAGTTCGCGCGGTTCGTTATCAATTTTCCACTTCCTCGTTTTTTGCGGTATTATTTACACGCGACGATCGAATTTCGCGATTTCTCGTTTTATATCGCTGTGCTGCAGGCAACGACCGCAAAGATCGCGTCCTATCGCACACTGCATAAAGTGCAGCAATTGCGAATGTGTATGATAAGATGGTTCGGTCTCCCAATAACACGTTTTTATGAGTAGAAACAAAAGGAAAATATTACTAAAGAGGAAAAACTCACTGCCTTTTATTTTATGTTTAATTTTTTCGCACCCCTATACATTTTTTTAACTTAATTTTGTTTTTTTCGAATATTTCTTATGTGTTATCATTAATTACGTAAATTTTCTTGGTGCCATTATGAAAATTATATTACGGAGGGGACTAATCAAACTATAGATATAGTTAGGAGGGAAAACGTTATTTTAATATAGCGACTATCGTATGGAACTATTATTATAGCAAGGCTGTATCCCAGGTGAAAATAGTATGTAAGATCTGACTCCAGATCTGGCATCAGATCAGGTATAAGATCTGACAAATATACACCAGATCTGACATCAGATCTGATACCAGATCTTGTATTCGATAATCGACATCAGAACTTTATATCAGATCTGACATCAGATCTAATGTCAGATCTGAAGTGACTGTAATGCCTTCAATTATTTAAACAATAAGTTTATTAATAATTAAAATTTTATAATAAATCTTAATAATAAAAGTTGTTGAATCAATTTAAATTCACATTATCAGAAACCTAAATATTGTAGGAATTTTTCTTAAAGGTATTATCGATGTGATTATTAAAATATAACTAAATTTGTTATAAAGTTTTAATTATTAATAAAGTTATTGTTTAATTAATTAAAGGCAATACAGTCACTTCAGATCTGACATCAGATCTGATGTCAGATCTGATATAAGTTCTGATGTCGATTATNTTGCTAAAAAGAGGCGCTCGTCCGAACTTAGCTGATAATAAGAAACTTACTCCTTTGCACGCAATATGCAAGAGAAAAAACGGCGACGATGGCTTGCTGAAGAGATTTTTCGAGATCAACGACGAATTAAATCAGCTGGTGGAGGTCGACGCCAAGAATGAGGAGGGCTCGACGCCGCTACACTTGGCTCTGTCCCATGGATGCAAAAAAATGAACGAATTGCTGTTGGAAAGACACGCCGATCCAAACTTGGCCAACGCAGAGGGTCATACTCCTCTGCATGTTATATGTCAGAGAGAAGACGACAATGTTGACCTGCTCAAGATTTTATTCGAGGCGGCTGATAAATTCAATAAGCCGATCCAGGTCGACGCCCAGGACAAATCCGGCTGCACACCATTGCACTTAGCTTTGAATGGCGGCCACGAACAAATAGCTGAATGGCTGCTGAGAAGAGGAGCGGATATAAATTTAGCCAACGCGAAAGGATCGACACCGTTGCACTTGATTAGCGCGGGAAAGATGGACTGCGCTGACTTGTTGAAGACGTTTTTCGAGATCAGCGACGAGCAAAGGCGGCCGGTCGAGGTCGATGCACGCGACAACGAAGGCAAAACGCCTCTCCATCATGCTATAAGTCACAGACACAAGAAGCTGTTTGAATTACTGCTGAGAAGAGGCTTCGATCCGAATATGGCCGATAACGATGGTTCGACAGCTCTGCACGCAATTTGCATGGTCGACGACGACAACGGCTGGGCGAAGATGTTGTTTGAAATCAGCGAGGAAAAGAATCGACAGGTACAGATCGATGTTCGGGGCGTGTGCGACTTTACACCACTGCACCATGCGCTGGTCAAAGAAGAGCTCAGGGCGGTGGCAGAATTGCTTCTCAGAAAGGGAGCCGCTACGAATTTAGTCGATTGGGAGGGCTCGACTCCTCTGCACACAGTTTGCAAGTACGCCGATGACGAGGACCGCGTGAAGATGTTGATCGAGATCAGCAACGAAGAAAATAAGCCGGTCGAAGTCGACGCCCGGGACAAGTTGGGCCGGACGCCGCTACACCTGGCCCTGGCCAGAGGAAACGGTCAGGTGGTCAAGTATCTGCTGAAATTAGGCGCCGACCCCAACTTGGCAGACGAGAATGGATTCTCACCTTTGCATGTCGTCAGCAAGGATCGTTACGACGACGATGAATTGCTCAAGCTATTCTTTGACGCCAGCAAAAAGGTCGATCGGCCGGTGCAGGTCGATGTCCAAGACAAGAACGGCCGGACGCCTTTACAATGGGCCGTAGCGAATCTGTTCCTGAATGCGGTCGATGTACTCCTGGACCGGGGCGCCGATCTGTCCAACTTCGTTTTTCCCAGCAAGAGCTTTTTCGTCGAGAGATTCGGATCGATAAGTGAGATGGACGAACGTGAATGGCTTGGATTTAAATTATCATTAGCGTCAAAAATTGTGGTCCTTGTTGAACGTCTCGAGAAAAGAGGATACGAATTTGACCGCCACAACACCCTCGATATCATGAGTTTGTTCGACGAGTACGAACTGTTTGAAAAGTCGACGGATCTTGGAGAAAATTGGTATGACGACGAAGAATTTGTGAGCAAATCGAAAAAGATAATGCTAACTCCTAGTCTGTCGCTTCACGACCTTATCCGATTGAAACCGAAACAGGCGGCAAAACATCTAAAGCATGAGAACTGTATGCAGTTAGCGCGTTCAAATATATTGTCGTACACTCTTCCCGAAAGCCACAGCGAGATCTGTGCTCGGCATCTGTGCGAAAAACTGTCGAGAGGATTTTTCTGGCCTTGGGCACTCGATGCATTCTACGAATTGCAACACTACCAGCTACCGGTTATCTGCTGTGAAATGATCATTGAGAACCTAAAGAACGAGGATTTATATAATATTTGCTTGGCATCCATACTAGAACCGGCGAAAGCTCGTGATTGCTCGTTTTTTTGTCATAATTATGTAGATAACAAACAATTATAAACGGTATCAAAAAATTGTAACAAATTACTTGAATTCGAAACCTTGTAATAACATCGATTCATAATAATTGCATATATAGAAACAATAACAGTAATTTAGCTCGTATGGATCTCCAAAATCTCTTTGTTAAATAGTGAACATTACAACTATCCATGTAAATAGAAAAAAAATTGTAAATAATACTTATAACTTTTCTCAAATTCTCATGTAATTCTGTAAATTTTTAATATCAATAAAATGTGTTATAAACTAACTCACTATACGCTGCAGTCAATTTCATTGATCAACTCAATAAATGTGTAAATAATCAAGTACTCTCATCAGTATTTTGATTTATTATTTCATCGTCTAATCAGCTACAATTTCACCAATAAAATATAAGGATAATAAACTTGCACTTTATAGTCTCTTTCTCTCTCAAATAAAATTATTACATATAGTATGATGAATTGTGAACAAGTTATTAAACCAAATAAACAATTGCTGATGGCTTTGTGGCGCAAGCCTCATTCTTAAATATCCTCATAAATTGTCTTCGCTGAAAAGAAATTGCTCCAAAATAAAACATTCAAGTCATGTGAGTAAATAGGTATGAAGCTGGTTAACTTCTTTAATTACTCGATAAAAAAATTTCGATTTTCCAACTATGGTAAAATTATTCGAAACGTTGGTGGCAGTGTTGGTTTTGATTTCGTGTGCCACACTGTGTGCCGTATCTACAGATTATAATCGAAAGTCCGCGCTTGTACTCACTCAGTTAATTTTGATCGAGATCAAGCCAAAAGAAAAATCAAATATTTTCCTTATCCCTACAAAGTTGAAAACGTTTGGAAATAAAAAATAATTACGACGTTTGACAAAGATCCACGTTGTTTATTTTTTAAATGCTGAAGCATCGATTTGTTTTTTGAAGTAATTAGTTGGCCAAAAAATTTCACAAGAGCTCCGTCAAGTTAGATTTTTAATCTGGTTCAAATACTGTAAGGACATTGTACAAACACACAAATCGGTAGTTTAATTGTAAACAATATGATCATACACTATTTTGACATAGTACTTCGACACACTATTAAGGTTAATAGCAAAAACAAATTAGTTTGAATGTTTTATCTTCCGATGAAACCCGTAATACCAAAATATACATATGGGTCTATATTTTTTCTGAGGACATGAAGTAATTAAAAAATCTGAAAAAATTCATAAATATACTTTTCAACAATCCAAACAACCTTGAATTTTTTCAGATTTTTTGAGTGCTTCAGGCCTTCAGAAAAAATTATTGAAAATTTCAAAAATCGAGATATAGCGGTATGAGCCGATGTAGTAAACGAAAATTTTTTCAGTTTTTTATCGCATTGAAAAACATTACCTCAATTTTTTTCAGATTTTTTCAGATGACCTAACGCACCTTTTGAAGCAAAAAACCACTTTTTTTAACGAAATAGTATATTTTGTAACAAGTGCGCGAAGCAGTTGACTCACCCAGGAGTTGTTTTCACCCGAGCGTAGCGTAGCTCTGTTGCGTCGCACCACGCCAGTCCATCGTGCGGCTAAACAGGGTGCCAATCTCACCATAATTTCTGATCTCTTTAAAATTTACAACAAACTTGACGTAAATTACATTGACGAAGATGGATTAACACATTTTCACGTGGCCTGCAGGTATGGTCTTGACACCATCGTCGAAAAATTCCTTGAACTCGGGCAAGATCCCAACGGCTTTTCTCAAGACATGGGCGCGAGATATCCTGACTCGCCACTATACTTGGCTCTACACAGCCACCACGGGCCGGTAGCCGAATTGTATGTAAGATCTGACTCCAGATCTGGCATCAGATCAGGTATAAGATCTGACAAATATACACCAGATCTGACATCAGATCTGATACCAGATCTTGTATTCGATAATCGACATCAGAACTTATATCAGATCTGACATCAGATCTAATGTCAGATCTGAAGTGACTGTAATGCCTTCAATTATTTAAACAATAAGTTTATTAATAATTAAAATTTTATAATAAATCTTAATAATAAAAGTTGTTGAATCAATTTAAATTCACATTATCAGAAACCTAAATATTGTGGGAATTTTTCTTAAAGGTATTATCGATGTGATTATTAAAATATAACTAAATTTGTTATAAAGTTTTAATTATTAATAAAGTTATTGTTTAATTAATTAAAGGCAATACAGTCACTTCAGATCTGACATCAGATCTGATGTCAGATCTGATATAAGTTCTGATGTCGATTATCGAATACAAGATCTGGTATCAGATCTGGCGTACATTTATCAGATCTTATACCAAATCTGATGCCAGATCTGGAGTCAGATCTGACATACTATTTTCACCTGGGATAAACAGTCGATCGGTGAAAATCTGATACTTTTGAAACATGACCTTCATAGATTTGAAGAGGATGAAGATGATCATCTATCGCAAGAACAGGCCCTACGTTTGAAACGATTTAAAATTTAACAAAAGTTGAAGACATATTTATTTTTATTTTCGTAAGATCGTTTTCAGGTCTATTTATTGAAATAATTTTAGAAATAGGAAAGAAATGAATCCAATACAACAGTCAGAACAAATATCGCCTGAAGGACAGTCTCATAATCATGAGGAAGATACTAAACCAAACGGTACAGTCGATTGCTTCTGTTTAAAAAGTACCGATGGAAAAATAATTGTATGCGACAATGAGGCTTGCCCAATGAAAACCTATCACTTTGATTGTCTTGGCGCAAAGGAAAGTCCAAAGGGAAAATGGTATGGTCCGATGTGCAGGGGCATCAATCCAACATTCTAAAGTCGAAAGAATTGTTGTTAATGGACTTAAAATGGTGTAACGAAGAGAAATGAAATATAATTTTAATTGTAAACAGTATTTATTATAATCATTGCAAACAATCTTATTTTATTTTTATATCATCTCAGTGATTTTTTTAAATTAAATAGTTGCAATGAAAAAATGTCGACTCTTTTTTTTCGCTACGGACATCCAATGCATGCGATATTTGTCACAATATTTATGCCTTTTTTCCTGCTTAGATGAGTAAATTTTCCTGTCTTAATCGTTTCTTGATCCACGTATCTGCGATAACGATATTTTTATCTTCTACAAACAGGATTATGACAAAACGTTACGAGATGTCTTAATTTTTTATATCAAATTAGCATTCCTTCACAAAAGATCTCGTACGATTTTTCCAGGGTCCTGATTTCGTAAAGAAATGATTTTTTCCACGTTTGGCGTCGTTTTGTTGAAGGTATTATTGTTCATTTAAGTCTTTAAAATAATTCTTCGAGAAAATATGATACGTCTATTCCTAATTCTAGATTTTGGTGCTTTCGAGTCTTTACAATTTAGCTAAAGGCAAAAAATTCGAAGAATCTCCTGATTATGCTAGCACCAATCCCTTATACTTGTAAGAGCAGTACCGATCGTTAAATTACCCGAACGATAGTGGAATATTTAATTGATGTAATTATTTTTTGTGTGCGTGCTAGATCAAGAACTATGTCATTTGCCAAACGTTACAAACCGGTGGATATCGGCATTGGTGCACCGAATTTCGCTCCGCCCGATTTCATGAGGGAGGCTTTCATCAACGTGTCGCTCAGTCCCGATTATGCCGTGCACCAGTACACTCGGAGCGAGGTATACACATTATATGCATGTTGATATTTAAAATATGATCAATCATATTGATCCGGAAAATCGCCTGAAAATTTCTGTATAGGGTCATCCGAGACTAGTCAAGATCTTGTCAAAAATCTATTCGCCCCTCGTTAATCGCGAGCTCGATCCATTCGACAATTTTGTGGTCTCGATCGGCGCGACCAATTCGATTTTTTGCGCCCTGCAAAGTCTCACGCACGATTCCGATGACGAGTGGATCGTGTTCGAGCCTCACTGGGAGCATTACACGGCTATGATAAAAATGGCCGGTGCCAAAGTCAAAGAAGTGCCCTTGAAACCGGTAAGCGAATTGATCGGTTCAGTTTCATTTATAATTTCAATGTTATTGATTCCGTATATGTTTGAGTATAGAAAAAAGACAAATATTCGAGTGGAGATTCGCCGAGCTCGTCCGATTGGACCTTCGATCGAAAGAAGTTACGCAAGGCGTTCGGTAAGAAAACCAGGGGTGTCGTTCTGAACAATCCGAATAATCCGACCGGCAAAGTTTTCAATCGAGAAGAATTGACGTTCATTGCCGATCTCGTGAAGAAATGGGACGTGATCGCATTGGTTGATGAAGTCTACGAGTGGCTTGTGTACGGTGGCCATCAACATATCAGATTCGGTAAAAGATTTAATATAGTTTCCAATTTAGGTCGAAATCTTTATGGAAATCAATTTTTTTCGTTATTTCAATAATTTTCTATGATTTCAGCCAGTTTGCCAGGAATGTTCGAGAGAACCATCACAGTGGGAGCCGCCACAAAAACATACTCGGTCACGGGTTGGCGAGTCGGTTGGGCTTACGGACCAGCTTACTTGATGAATTACATGAAAAAATCGATATTCGGAGCTATCGGCGACAACGTGACCCCGAGTCAGGTAGACTATTGGAATTTCTCAGTTATGAGCATTAGTAATAATGAAATATTTTACTCGGTTATAGGAAGCCGTTGCGATAGGTCTCGAGCGAGTCTGGGCTGAAAGGAGCCGAGCGAATTCTTACCTTGTCAGGTACCCAAAAAAATTACAGATAAAAAGAGATCGTTTGGTCAGGGCTCTGTGCAAAGCTGGTTTCGTTACGCATGTACCAGAGAGCGGCTACTTCTTGTTAGCCAATTGGACTGGGATGAAGTCATTGCCCAGCTATCTCGTCGGCAATACAACCGATTCTAAGAAGGACGTCGAATTCGTAAAATATTTGGTCAAGGAGGTCGGTTTGGAAGTTTATCCGGGCTCGCCTTATTTCGGTGAAAAGCATCAGTCCAAGGGTAGCGATTTCGTGCGAGTTTGCTTCGTCAAGGTGAGGTCTCGTTCCGTGTAACGAACTGATTATTTAAAAAGAAAAATAAAGATATAGAGATGAACATTTTTTTCGGTATATATCCAGACCGACGGGACTTTGAACAAGGCTGTGGACATTTTAACAAATTTGTGAGGATGTACGAAACTTTTTCCATGTCCTGCCTGAGAGAACATGTGAAAAACTTGATCAATAATTGAAAATTGTATCCATGTTGTTCCATGTAGATGAATCCCTTACTCCACTGTATTGATAAGAAGTGAAATTGAAAATGTGATTAATAAAACGATTACATTTACTTACATTTTGTTTTTTGTTATTCTGCCTGTATTCATTATAAATTCGCACTTCGCTTAGGTGTTGCTTGAAAGTATCTCATTACCTAAGTAAATTATCTCGTACTGATTCTGTGCAAGAATTTAATTATATAAAACTTTATCAAATTAACTAATGCTAGTTATCGGCTGTGCTTGAATTATAGTACATTTTATTAATAATAGTTACAGATTTGTTTATAATAATTCCGACATGCGTCTCAAGCTTTTGGGACCCTTTTATACATTCAGAACCAAAAATTCCCGTGTTGTAAAAATTCTTCGAATTAGTCTGCTTATAGAACAAAGCGATTTGAAAACTTAATTTTTTAATTAGGTCAATCAATTCTTAAACGTTCGTAAAATTCGGTTGAGGATAAAAATTTTTAATATTTTATTGCGTTGGGCATATTTCGCCAGTATAGCGTTGAAAAAATACGTCGTATATCAGTAAACATAATGAAATGATTTTTTGCATGCATTTGTAGTTAAAATTGCATATTCTCAAAATATTTAGTACAAAAGAATGAAGAAAAAATTATCTAGATTATCAATTTTTTATTTTTAATGTTGTTTTAATTCTATTTAATTGCTATTTTAAATCACGACAAAGCGTGAACCCAAGACACGTAATGCTATAAAATTTTTTATTTTCTTCAACTAACAGGATTTCAAAAAATGTTATAAAATGTAATTTTTTACCTGAAACTGGCACTCTTGCACTAACGATCCTAAACGATTTGCTCGAAGGATTTCGTAGTAATGATTTTTTCGGATAAATACGTGACAGGCATCGTCTTGTTGAAGGTACACAATCAAATCTTTCGAATAATTCTCAGAGAAAATCTGATTTGCCAATTGGATATTGTAGATTTTGTCGTTGTTGAGCCTTTACAACATAGCCAAGGGCAAAGAATTCGAAGAAGCGCCTGATTATGCCAAGACCAATGCCGCAGTGTGAGTCATGATTACTATTACCTGAATATAAACCGTGAAATTATACTGAACATTGTCTAATTAATGCTTGGGTACGTGCATAGAATGAGACTGATGGCATTTGCCAAAAACTACAAACCCGTGGATATAGGATTAGGGGCACCGAATTATGCTCCGCCCGATTTCATGAAGGAGGCCTTCATTAACGTGGCCATGAGCCCCGATTACCACGTTCACCAGTACGGACGAAGCGAGGTAAGCAATCTGGCTAAATTAGTTGAATCCTTGAACAATCTAAAAATTGTCGTAGGGTCATCCGAGATTAGTGAAGATATTGTCTAAAATCTACTCGCCCCTCGTTAATCGCGAGCTCGATCCATACGATAATTTTGTGGTCTCGATCGGCGCGACCAATGCGCTATTCAGTGCTCTGCAGAGTCTCACCCATCCCGACGACGAGTGGATCGTGTTCGTGCCGCACTGGGAGCATTACGCGTCCATGCTGAGAATGTCCGGTGCCGCAGTCAAAGAAGTGCTCCTGAGACCGGTAAGCCATTCACCCGTTTGAATTTCAACTTTACCGATTTATTCATTTCGTTTTGCCGATGTTGAGTGCAGAATAAAGACTTTCGTTGTGGAGATTCGCCGAGCTCGTCCGATTGGACCTTCGATCGGAAGGAGCTGAGCGAGGCGTTTACCGAAAAGACCAAAGGTATCCTTCTGAACAATCCGAACAATCCGACCGGCAAAGTTTTCGATCGAGAAGAATTGACGTTCATTGCCGATCTCGTCAAAAAATGGGACGCGATCGCATTGGTCGACGAAGTCTACGAGTGGCTCGTGTACGACGGAAATGAGCACATCAGATTTGGTAAGATTTTGTCAAATGAAATTTTGTTTCAGAGTTAACAATTTGAATAATTTTTTAGCCACTTTGCCGGGAATGTTCGATAGAACCATCACGGTGGGAGCTGCGTCGAAGGCGTTCTCCGTCACGGGTTGGCGAGTCGGTTGGGCTTACGGACCTGCCTACCTCATGAATTATATGAAAAAATCGATTTACGGAGCCGCCGGTGACAACGTGACCCCGAGTCAGGTATAGTTTTTCAGCTTTAGCATTCGTAAAAATCCTTGATCGAGGAAATTTTTCACTCGGCCGCAGGTAGCCGTGGCTACGGGTCTCGAGCGAGTCTGGGCCGAAAGGAACCAGACGAAGTCTTACCTCGTCGAGTATCCAAAAACTTTGGAGATCAAGAGAGACCGTATTGTCGAGGCTCTGTGCAAAGCCGGTTTCGTTCCACACGTGCCTCAGAGCGGTTTCTTTCTGTTGGCCGATTGGACGGGGATAAAGTCGTTGCCTCGATATCTCGTCAACAATGCAACCCTTGCCAACAGGGACGTTGAATTCGTGAAATACATGGTCAAGGAGGTCGGTTTAGAAGTTTATCCGGGCTCGCCGTATTTCGGCGAAAAACATCAGTCCGCGGGTAGGGATTTCGTGCGCGTGTGTTTCGTCAAGGTAAGAAAACCGTCGGGATCGTCCACGCGACGAGCCGTTCATCTCAACTAAGTAACGATGAAAATTTTTCTCGGTATGAATCCAGAGGGACGATACTCTAGACAAAGCTGTGGACATTTTAGCAAAATTGTGAGGATACGAGCTAATGGCATCCAGTTGACAATAACTTGAATCAGCTGTGTTTTTTTTTTATTTTTCAACCATTTGTATTCGATTTTAATAGTAGCAAATTAAAGTTTTTACAATTACAATAATTGCTTTTCAATAAAACTGATGATTTTAATGTTATTAACGTTCATTCTAAGATTCTAAATAAGTGGGCAATGCATTGTCAATAATAAGATTCATGGATTTCATATAAAGCTACAAACAACACAGTGTTGGTATAAGTAACAACATTTTGAGAATTATTAAAAAAAATTTTATTAACAATTTGCATAATCTATTGAGGTAAATGCATACCACAGCGTACAGATTATGAAAATGTTTATCGCTTTCTGCGCAACGAAAGCGAGTTTTGTTTCTTCCAATGCGCCTTTCTGGAGCCACCAATGGTATGGCTGAAACGATGACCTTTGCCAAGACCTCTAGAGCTCTTTCCAGCTGATGTCAAACCACGCATCTCACGATGTTTGTGAACAGCCTTGCAGATCCAGTTGACTTTAGCGTCATTGCGGATAGCCTTGTGGAAGGGATCAACACAGATTACCTCAAAGTATTTGTATGAGGAGTCTTGAGCTACCCAGTAAGAGTTGAGCACTCTCAAACCACCACAACGTCTTCCAACGCGCTCCTGAAAATTAAATAAATGTTTGAATTCTAGTTGAACAGACAGACATACATAATTGATTTAACAAGTCAAATTTATCAGACAGCCAAGGGAAAAAGGTCATCAATTGTATACATTATGAAAAACCATATTTGGTTAGCATCATGGAATTACTTGTCATTTAGAATACGATTGAATGAGATTATTAATCAATTTTACCTCAGCAACTGATTGCAGTTTGCGGGTCGGCTTCAATTGGTTGATACCCTGACCCTTGGGTTTGCCATAAGTGGCACCTTTAGGGACTGGGCGTTTGCGTCCACCACGGCGAACACGAATTCTGAAGATACAGAATCCTGTAAAAAAAAATATTAATCAGTAAAATGTTAAATTAACAGCAGATTATTGAAATAATGAATTAAATTTTCAGAAACACATAATCTCCATGTATGAGGTAAGAAGGTGGTGCATGTATGGTTCATCATGTACAAACATGTGCATATGAAACTTGAAATGTATATAAATGAATGAAGGTTTTTACCTTGTTTTGCCTTGTAACCCAAACGGCGGGCCTTCTCAGGACGTGTTGGTCTTGGAGCTCTGTGGAGCCTGGTGAGTTGACGGTATTGCCAACATCTCACACGAAGGAGGAAGCGCATAACTTCACTCTGCTTCTTGCGAGAGATCTCTGCAATATACTTGTAGGCTCCCATTTTAACCTACTGAAATAAAAACCAATGATCCAATTAATGAAATTTATAAAAACATAAATGAAGTACATGTTCATTTTCTTAGGGCTTCAGACATCCAAGGAAGATAAAATAATCATGGTTTTTCATTGTGAAATGAGAATGTATCATCATGTTAACAACTTTTCAATAAATCAGCACTTCTATTCTGACAGAAACACTCAACAAATATTTATATTTACAATCACTAACAAACACAGTACAATATTTTAAAATTTATACAGCCGACCATGAAGTCACAGATTCATAAGTTAGGTTACCAAATGCTATTCAGCAACAAATGCGATGCAACACTTTGCGCTTTCGTGAAATACGAAGGACATTCAATACATATTGACTTCGTCTGTTTTATTAACAAATTGTTAATTAAATCTATCTCTAACAGCGAACAAAAATTGTTAATTTTTGCACATGCTCACCTTTTATTCGATCCAGTTATCTGTAGAAAAAAAAGGCCGTACGTCGGCGTGTAGCTAGCTCCTTCTACATGAGAGATAGGTTATATGACTCCGACCGAGGCGTCACGGGGGGACCGCTGAACGCATTGCGCGACGTAAAGAGGCAGAAGCACCCTACATTGGCTTGGCATAGCATTTTGAACGCTCCAAATGGCTCGTGCTTACAGTCATGACTTTTTGAAAATTTGAAATTATAAACTACTTTTTCTTCATATCTCAAATACGATATACTTTGTTAATTGAATATTTTTCTCTTTCATAAAAATCAATCTGAAAAAATTACGCCATTGATAAATATTTAGTTTCATAAAGTTTTGGATAAAAAGTAAAACACATGTCAGGTATTGAAGGTATTTGATTTTTCAAAAAATATAAATATAATTTCAAAACATATAAATTGATTAACTTAAGTCCCAGAAGAAGATTTATAAATGATGATATGATTGCGGAAATTTTTTTTTTTTTTTTTTGATAATGACTTAAAACAGTTGTTTTTTTTTTAATAATTTTTTTTATTATCAAATCATTAATATTTGATCGGAATAACATCTAAAAGATATATTCTCACATTTACAAATGTTTCATAAAAATGCATTTATTTCAGTGTAATTTATGTAGCTTCAGAAATTGGAAGAAAATAAAAATGTTTAAACTAATTGTGCAAAATTGATGTAAAAAATACTTTTACAAAAATAAACAAAATGAAAAATTATGTTTCTACATATAACTTCAATTCAATTTATGTAAAGATGATTTTTCGATACATTTAAAAACTAGTACTAAGATTTAATAATAAAACTAGACTCTCGCGTCATTGTACAATTAAATCTTTTAACGGACCTGCCTACCTCATGAATTATATGAAAAAATTGATTAACAGAGTCACCGGTGACAACGTGACCCCGAGTCAGGTATAATTTTTCAGCTATAGCATTCGTAAAAATCCTTGATCAAGGAAATTTTTCACTCGGCCGTAGGTAGCCGTCATTGTACAATTAAATCTTTTAACAAGTAAGTTTTTATTATACACAGTTATTTATAAAAAGTATATAAATATTTTTTTACTACCCTCTACGTCTCTCAATATAGATAAATCTAATGACTTATTCTAACTCTATGTTTGATATACATTCAACATTATCCACTACGTCAATTTTCACTCCATTTTCATCGTAGTATAATTCGTATGCACTTTTGAAGATGTCCACTAATTTATTTCCATTTTTAATATTTAAATCTCGAACAAACGACCCAATGTCGACTTTGTTTTGGGTCAAAACTTCAGTATACTTCGTCATTTGTCCTTGTTCATCAAAGAAAAGATAATACAGATTCATAAAGTTCCTAGCAGCATTCGGTCCTGATTTTCTTAGCACTGATACTATACAAGGTACAGTGAAACCAATTCCTAGTAAAGATTTTAGGTAGACTGATTCTGTTGGCTTAGATACGCTTTTGAACATACATTTGAATAGATTTACAAACGGCTTTCTTATTGTAATTGAAACACCGATCAATAATCTGTGAATAGTTACAAAATCTACACCATAATTTTCTAACGTTAACAAATAGTTTCTTTTGCTTCCATCTAACTTAAACCACAAACCATATAAATTTTTCAAAAAAAGGATCATTTTTCCTTTAATAGGCCTAGCACGAATAATCTTAGAGACAGTTTTAATTATTCCTGGATTATTGAGATAATTATTTATATATAAACTTGAGTTTCCCTCGAGGTCAAAAAACAATTTGTACAGTGAGTTAAAAAATTGATCGACATACTGGCTACTTCCCTCTAATATTTCGCAAATTATGTCAATATTAAAATTATTTTTTTCCATCGTTTGTAAGAAATGAGTTTTTTCGCCATTTTCATCAAACAAACAATAATACAACTTTAAAAAATGTTTTGGAAAAAAGTGCCCTGCACCTGTGAAGATATTTTTCAATTTCTTTAAATTAATGTATTTCAACATATTCTGTAAAATGAGACTGATACTACCATCTTTTTCGATAAATAGTTTGTGGAGTTTTTTTAATGTTTTGCATGCTCGAATTCCCGATCCTTTCAAAATTTTACACAACCAAGCTAATGTGATTCCATTTCTTTCTAATTCTTGTAAATATTGAGTTTCTTTAAAGTCTTCATCGAACCATAAATCAAATAGCATTTTAAAATACAATGGAGTCTTTCCGCCAACACTACGAAAAATACTACATACATCAAAGAGAGATACATTTTTCTTCTCCAATAATATTAATGCTTCACTATATTGACCTCTTTCATCAAAGAAAAAATCATGAAATTTATGAATTCCTATACCTCGAGACAAATAAAAAATTTCCGATAGCAATTCAAGATCAACTCCTTTGTTTTCAAAATTGGACAGAAGTTGGGTTTTATTGCCTTCTTTATCAAAAAATATATAAAAAACTCTGTTAATTATTTTAAAATGATCAATAGCGGCACTTTCTATAAATTGTATAAAAATATCAACATTTATTTCATATTTTTTGAGAGTATTTAAATAAAATGATCCCTGACCATTTTGATCAATGAAAAATTCATATAAAGCTTTAAAAAAATTAACTGCTCCATTACGAGAGCTCCTTAAACATTGCATAATTTTAAGAAGGTCTAAATTGTTATTTTCAAAACATTGAATGTAGTAACTTTTTTGCCCATTTTCATCAAACCATAAGTTGGAAAGATCAGTCAAAAGGTTGATGGCATGAACATTCGAATTTCGTATCATTTTTGTTAAATGATTGATACTAATGCCATAGTTCTCAAAAGTTTTCAAAAATCTTTTTTTTTTACCTTCTTCATCAAATAGAAAATTATAGAAATCTTTGAAAATTTTAGATGCCTTGGCTGGCTGTCCCCTAATAATTTTACAAATATCATCAATTTTAATATTGTGATTTTCAGATCACAATTTCCAGAACTATATAGTAAAGTAGATATTACAGAAAATTTAACTCCGGCTTTTCTCAGATATTGCAAATTTTTAGTAGGATTACCATCTTTGTCAAATAAAGCATAATAAAATTGTTTAAATGAATAAACAGCTCTAGTCCTAGATCCATATAAGGCTTGTATGAACTTATGAAAATCAATGTTGTGGTCTTCTAAAATAAAAAGATACTTAGTCTTATTACCTTCTTCATCAAACCACAAATCATGAAGATCTTTTAATGTTTCAACACAATTCATTCCACCACAATATGCAATATTAGCTACTTTAGAAAGAGATAAGTTATTGTTTTCATAATTGGTTACATATTTTGTTTTGTTATCTTCCTCATCAAACCATAAATTATATAAATTTTCATGTACTAATCGACTCTCATGGCGAGAGCCATTAAGCATAGCTCCGAGAACTGTAAAATTAATTCCTTCCCTTTCTAAAGAGGATAAATATTTAGTTTTACCGCCAAGACTATCAAACCACAAATCAAACAAATTTTGAATAATATCCACTGCATCAATATGGGACATTCTGGCAATGTTACAAACAGTTTGAATATTCAAATGATTCTTTTCCAAGAGTAAAAAATTTTTGGTTTTATTTCCTTTTTCATCAAACCAAAAATTGTGAAAAGCTTCAAATGCATCGAATAAGTATTTTTCAGGAACACCTCTCATAACATTAGCAATACTTCTTAAATCAATGCCTGCATTTTTAAAGTGCTGTATAAATACTTTTCCTCTACCATTAATTAAAAAATCAAATAATTCATTTCTTTGTAAGAGTATTGTACGACAAAGAGACCTGGTCAGTTTCCATTCATCTGCGACATTGGAATATTTTAAGTATTTGCGACTTGTTCTATTATTTTGTATATCAGTTAAAAGCAATCTCATGGTTCTTAATGTCATTATTTGATGCTTCTGAAATTCTAGCCATCTTAAAGTTACTTCTTGTAACTGGTCAAGATTGTAAGGAAGCTGCTGCTGTTCGTTTTGGAGAAGAATATCTGTATCTGTCATTTTTGTTTGTCCGGTAGCAATAATAAGAGTATGCAAAAACAACAATTTGTTATTTTTTTCTTTTTCTACATCTATCTCATATTCAATACCATTGGGAGGATTAAGCAATTCTAAAAGAGCATCATAATCTTCAGATGCAAACTCAAACAACATTGATTTATTCAATTTGGAGCAATTTTGAAATATTTTGTACCTTTTTTTAGATACATCTATTTTGTTCAATTTTAATGGATAGTACTGCTCAGATTTGTTATTTTGAATTACATTATTATCGGTAAAATTGAACTCTGAATTGGTGTAAATAACAAAAAATTTTATGTTTGAATTTTTTGTGTACTCATTACAGAAAAAAGTGTATAAGTCATTCAATGAAAACTTACTTTTTTCTTTCTTTTTCTTGGGGAAAAAGTCATCAAATTTGATACTTCCATTATTAGTGGAGTCTACATTTATCAGATATGTAATTTTTTTTTTATACAAAATATTAATTACATTGCTAGTGTGATAACTTTTTGTTTTAACTGCTGATATATTCTTATAAACAAACATATCATTCAATAAAGACATTAATAATTGAAAATTTTCATTGCTGATACTCTTTTTAGCTATAGAAGTATATTTTATCAATTTATTTTGTAACTTCAAGTAATCTTTTTCATTGCATTCAATTTCATCTTTTAATTGGTTTTTTAAACTTTCTCTGCAAGGTTGATTGTCCAGAAATATAAGCTTCGTTAGAAAGCTTTTTTTCAAGTGTACTTCAAACTCTGAAGTTAAACATTTCTTATTAAATATCTTTTTATTTGTACTTGACAACATCAAGCGCTGACAGAATTCGTCAATCGTTTGATCACCTGTTGCAAATTTATAAAATTTACATGAAGTGTTTGTTACTAACATATCTTGAAGCACCGGAATTTGGCATATATCCATACTTTCAAATTGAAATGGGTAAGAATTTTTCGAACTGCACATGGTCAACTTATTGTCCTCAGATAATTCCAGTTTGTCGTTACAAAATACGACGAGATACTTAATTTTCGAAGTTTGGTACTTTGGCTTATTGAGCTCATAACTGACCCAACTATTGAAATAATTTTTCAGAGAATACGGACTTTTTATCCCAAACAAATCGAGATATGTGATAAACTTGTCGGAAAATAGACTTACGGTGTAGTTGACATTCACGTGAATGGACTCGTCATTCTGCCTAATAACTATATCGGAAAACTTGTCAACATCTTTGTTGTCTAATGTCAATCCAACTCCATCCAACTTTTTATTTTCGACTCGTCTCTTCAGGTAACACCAAGTCGAGACGTCAAGTTTGTACATATACAGCAGTATTTTTTCTGCACAGTAGTCAATCCCCGAGGCTGGCATGAGGCTTTCAGCTTCATACTGCAATTTTAGTGGATTGTCGTTTTGGAATGTTTCAACTTCATTTGCATCATCTAAGCAAGATTGTTTGGGACTGGTCGCTTCATCCACCTCAACATAATCGATACGTTGCCTTTTTCTGCTTTTTTTTGACATGATGGTGAATTTGCTGCTATTAAATGCATTTACATTCTGGTCACTTTCAATATTCACTTCATTATCATGGAACATTCAAATATGGTAAAATTCGTGAGAAAAAAAGTTCAATTAGAAACTGATGTTGCACTATTATAATCACTGAGCTCTGTATGGACTGTATGTGTGTTTACGTTCTCTGACTTTTGCTGCAGCCGGCATCGACCTAACACGTGCTAAGCAGTGCGACCACATGTGCGGCGCGCGCAGCTACCAGAAATATGTGCATTTCTTTGATTTTGAAAAAAGCATAGAAGTAAAAACCTATTAAACGGCCACGAATTAAACGAAAACCACGTTTTCCAACGCATAATTGGTATTGATTCCCGAAATACCGTAACAAAATCAATTCTGATGCCAGATTCGAAAAGATGGTAAAAGTTGTATTAAATTATGTATTCTCGTAATTTCAAAATGGGTGGGAGGTGAGCTTTGAAAATTTATAGAGAAAAAAATAGATTTTAGCCATTCATATGAAGAAGTTTCTTCTAGCGGTGTTGACATTATTATTGTTTAATCGTTCGGGATCTATCGTTCAGGAGAATGTAGAACATTAAAAATAATTTTTAAAAAGTAGTTTTTATTTAGTTGAATATTTGGCTTAAAAAGATGTGAATTGTTTTTTGTTTTCCTTTCATAAAAAAGTAACGACTTATTGACAAGTTAAAAAACATATATCGTTGATTCATGAATTTATTATTGCATTGACCAAAACTAAAATATTCATCACAAACTTTGTAAATAAAATGTGGTACATAATATTTTATATTTATTACGCGTGTTTGAAGGTTTGTGTTCAAATTCAAGAAATTTCATAAACATTTCGCGACTTTCAATTTATTTTATTCAAAAACAAAAGTATTGCGGAATTCCTCATTTTTTTATACTGTATTTCATCAAGTTTCATAATACTGGCTGCCAAGTCCACGATGGAAAATAGTGCATAAATAATACGTTGAACAGTTAATTTTTGTACGGAGTTCTTTCTTAGTATTGGAAATACCTTGAAAAACTTACTAATCCAACTTTTCGATTTTTTTTAACATTTAAGTGAAAATTGTAAATTAATTTTTTTTTTGGGTATTTTTTTCAATGGGAAAATTTAAAATCTTCACACCTCAGAATTAATTACACTAACTCGATTACGGCCACCAAGTCGTTATTGATCGTGGTCAGCGTGCCCTTGCCATTCTTTCTTATTTTAGCGTCGTAATAATTTGGATAATCCCTTAAAAAGTTGTCAAGTTCTGCGTTAGTTTTTTTTTTCTTTTTCGCGAAACATATTTTCAATTTAGGGCACATAAATTGTATATTTCTATAAAGGAATCATGTACTTCATTATTTGTTGTTTTACCACAATTAATATGAAACATGAATTTTAAATTTATTTATGTCATGATGATTATTAATACAATTATTATATTTTATACTTCGTAGAAGAAATATTTATTCAATTCAAATTTTAGGACTCAACATTAAAATCCATATTGCAAGCAAGAGAAAAACGACATTTTTCCAACCTATGGAGTGATGTTGAATTTTCATTGAAATATTCTTCGTACCTCGTTTTTATTACCATGGCCACACAAACGACACGAGCTGAGTTAGCAGAGCTTTCGAGACAACTAGGCTTTGAGGAAAATCATTTCTACTGGCTAAGGATATTTTTGAAGTTTGTGTTTTTGTGTCCGGTGCAACCAATAGTGATTAAGAAATTCGGAAGATTCATCATGCACGCGAGCTTTCTTTTTTCCATCGCAATAACGGTAATTGAATGAAAAAAGGCTTAATTTTACTGCGAATAAAATGCATAAATAATTTGCAGTGCGCCAGAGCGTACAAAGAATTTTACATAAATGAAATATACCCACCGATGCTAGCAGAGCTCACTTTTCAACTCATCACTTTGGTGGGCGTGTGGTGCGTTTATTTGCAAACGATATACTCGGAAAACCTAGTAAGAATCAATACGATCCACATAAAGGTTGATGAAACATTTTTTTTGTTATACTTGAACTTGAAAGCTTAACAAAATATGCGAGTTCGTGACGATCGATTGGCTCGGCATCAAAGATGCGGAAGAGAAGAAGATCATGAAGGTGGCGTGCGAGCGAGGATCTCGCCTGATACGGATACACTTTGGCTTCTTGCTACCATCGCTCTTGGGTTACGCACTGGTCCCGGTGGCTTTACCGTACGTGCTCAATCCTTACTTGCCGGAAAACATGACCCTCGAGAGAAGACTCTGCGCTCACGTCGAGCTGTTCGTCGATCAGGACAAATACTTTTACCATATTCTCATTTTTCTCATTCATATGGTCATTCTGATTATGCTGATTGTCAGTGCGTTGGATTTGGCTTACACGTCTTGCATTGCCTACGTCATGGGCAAGATCATATGGATTGGGTTTGAGTCTATCGTTATTGATTTATTTCGAGTTTGTTAAAATTTCAAAAATTCAACGATAGTTTTCTTTGTTCTCTTCTTTTTTGGTATTGCAGAGACGTTTTTGAAAAACTTGGCGGAATAAAAATTTCTGATCAGAGCCCAAGCTCGAAACGAAAAATGAACGTTTACGTGCACCAAACTGTTATCGGATTGATTAAACGACATCAAAAATGCTTGGAGTAATGAATGACACATAAAATTAACTTGAAGTTTTATTTTAAAATAGAAGTAACAAATTAAATTCCTTTTTTTAGATTTTCTCAAATGTTGAACGATATTTGTAGCCCCAAGTTTTTTATTTCTCTCGTAGTCCTCTTGAATCTCTTGAGTTTATCGGGATCTATGGTAAGTTTAAAGTTAATTAAAAATACTTTTCTCGTGAAAAAAATCCAGCCTATTATCATTTATTTACATTTCCCGCGTGACAGGCAGTCGTTGAAATTTCTTACGATGCCAGTAGCGCTGCAAAAATGGCAGTGGCTTTTGTAATGATATTAATTATGGTGCTTGTGATCAGTTACCCAAGCCAACTGCTGATCGACGCCAGCAATGACATATATTTCAAATGGTATTTTATACTTTTTTTCAAATCACGAGTACATTAGAGAACAAGTCATAGAAATTTTGTTCCGTAGCTACACCAGCAAATGGTACGAGTATCCAGTGAGAACTAGAAGATTATTGATTTTGATGATGACCAGAGCAGCCGAACCTTGTTACATGACGATTGGGCCCACAGTGCCTCTGCATTTCGAGACAGCTAGCACTGTGAGTCCCGATAGACACAAACATTCGTTTTTAATAACTTCTTTTCCGAATGTCGAATGCATTTATTTTAGATCATCAATACAGCTATGTCCTACGTTACGACGCTGGTGTCACTTTGTGCACTCTAAGCCAATTGATTTTTTTCATTTATGTATGCGTTGTAAAAATTATGCACGAAATTTGTATACAAAAAAATTGGGCACGTTTAAAACCATCGTTAACATTTGCACCAATACTAACAGGTAAAAAAAAATAACATCGAGTAAATCCATGGTATACATGTAGCGAAGGAAAAAAATTATTGGCATAATTGGATGATCTTCCGTGGAATCGATTTTATTTACTGGCTATTGAATAATGTTTACATCTAATTCGAGGACGATATTACATCACAAAAATTTGAATTTAATATTAGAGTAGAATATTGTTTTAATTATTTTCCAAATATTCTAATAGTTGGGAGCTAGGATAAGCAATTCAGGAAGTAGTGACCACCCTAAACTAATATATAGTACAAAGATTAAATAAAATACTAGGATTGAGCGTCATTAAATTGAGTCTTTAAATTAGTTGCAACTAGTCAGGTTTTATTACATTAAATTTCAAAGAAAAAATAAAATTTATTGTTTTTCTCTATAATTCGTACAAAACCTTCGGTCCCTTTACATAATAGTTATCGAGCTCCGTTTATATACATTTATGAGTTAATAATAAAAAAATATAAACTATTATATAAATAACTAAAAAATATAAATATTATATAACTTATATAATAATATAATAACAGAGTTATTATAAAAAAATATAAACTTTTTTTATTACATTCTGCGTATTTTACTTTTACATACGATGTTTTATTCTGCCTCTATATTTAATACACATTCGTCATTTACCACTACGTCAATTTTCACTCCATTTTCATCATAATATAATTCGTATGCACTTTTGAATATGTCCACTAATTTATTTCCATTTTTAATATTTAAACCTCGAACAAAAGACCCAATGTCGACTTTGTTTTGGGTCAAAACTTCAGTATACTTCGTCATTTGTCCTTGTTCATCAAAGAAAAGATAATACAGATTCATAAAGTTCCTAGCAGCATTCGGTCCGGATTTTCTTAGCAGTGATACTATACAAGGTACAGTGAAACCAATTCCTAGCAAAGATTTCAGGTAGACCGATTCTGTTGGCTTAGATACGCTTTCGAACATACATTTAAATAGATTTACAAAAGTATTTCTCAATGAATATGAAGCACCAATAAAAAGTCCGTGAATAGTAACAAAATCTACGCCGTAATTTTCCAACGTTAACAAATAGTTTCTTTTTCTGCCATCTGACTTGAACCACAAAGAATATAAACGTTTTAACAAATTGATGATTTTCCCTCGAGTACCACGAATAATCTTACAGACACCTTTTATTATGGCTGGGTTGTTGAGATAATTTGTTATGTATGAGCTTGGGTTATCCTCGGGGTCAAAAAATAATTTGTATAGTTCCATAAAGAATTTGTTAGCAAATCCACCACTAGCATTCAAGACATCACAAATTACATTAATGTCAAAATTATTTTTTTCCATTGTTAGTAAGAAATGAGTTTTTTCGCCTTTTTCATCGAACCAACGAGTTAATAACTTGGGGAAATAGCTCAAAAACACTCGCCCTCCACGTAAATAAATATTTCGTAATTTCTTCAAATTAATATACTTTAACACAATTTGTAATGCCAGAGTCGCTTGTCCGTCTTCATTTATAAATAGTTTATGGATTCCTTTGAATACTTCATATCCGTGAATGCCCGATCCTCTTAAAATCTGACACAGCCAAAGTAGTGTTATTCCGTTTCTTTCCAAATCTTGCAGGTATTGAGTTTCTTTTAAATTTTCGTCGAACCATAAATCGAACAGCATTTTGAAAAATAACGGAGTGCTTGAGCCAACTTTAAGAAAAATATTACAAACATCAAGAAGACTCACATTTCTCATCTCGAACATTTTCAATGTTTCACGATCTTTATCTGTTTCATCAAAGAAAAAGTCGTAAAATTTCTGAATTCCATTACCTTGACACAAAATGAAAACGTTTGATAACGATTCAAGATCAACTCCTTTATTTTCAAAATTGCAAAGAAGTTGAGTTTTATTTCCTTCCTTATCAAAAAATGTGTAAAACACTTTATTCATTGTTCTCATATGATCGATAGTGGTACCTCGGACGAAATTCAAAAATATATCGATGCTTATTTCATGTTTATTTAAAGTACTTAAATGAAAGGATTCCACACCATTTTCAATTATAAAAAAATCATATAATACTTGAAAAAAACGACATGTTCCCTTCTGAGCATTTCTTAAAAAGTACATTATTTTAATAAGGTCTACATTGACATTTTCAAAATGTTTAATGTAGTAACTCTTATTGCCATTTTCATCAAACCATAAATTGAAAAGATCAGTCAAAAGGTTCACGGCATGAGCATTTGAATGTCGTATCATTTTTGCCAATTGATCGATACCTATGCCGTAATTTTCGAAGGTTTTCAATAAAAATTTTTTTTCTCCTTTTTCATCAAATAGGAGATTATAAAAGTTTTTGAAAGTTGTAGATGCATCGGCTGATCGTCCCTTTAAAATCTTACAAATATCGTTGAGATTAATGTTGTGATTTTCAAAAGTTTTCAAATATACTGTTTTATTACCACCGTTATCAAAAAAAAGACTGTACAATGCATTGAATAATGTTACAATATTATTATTAGAACTATATAATAATTTAGATATTGTACTAAATTTGATTCCTGCATTACTCAGATTTTGCAGATTCTGAGTAGGATTACCAAATTCATCAAACAATGTATAATACATTTTTTTATATAAACTAACAGCTTGAGTTTTAGATCCATTTAAGGTTTCTTTGATCTTATAAAAATCAATATTGTGGTTTTTAAGAGTTAAAAGATACTTAGTCATATTTCCTTCTGAATCAAACCACAAATCATGCAGATCTTTAAGTATTTGCGCACAAGATATTCCACCTGAATGTACTAAAGGTGCTATTCTAGCTAAAGATAAATTATTTTTTTTTAAATTTATAAAATACTGTGTTTTAATTCCTTGCTCATCGAACAATAGATTATATAAATTTTCATGTGCTAATCGAGACTCGAAACCACAGGCATTGAACATAGATCCTAGCATAGAAAAAGGAATTCCTTCTCTTTCTAAAGAGTACAAATACTTAGTTTTATTGCCAAGATCATCAAACCACAAATCAAACAAACTTTCAATAATACCAACTGCATTTATGTGAGACTTTCCAACAATAGTAAAAAGTGTCTTGAAATTCATATGATTTTTTTCATAGATCAAGAAATTTTTAGTTTTGTTTCCTTTTTCATCAAACCAAAAATTGTGCAAAGCTTCCAGAGCAGTATATAAGTTTTTTTTAGTGACACCATGCATAACATTAGCAACACTTCTCAAATCAATCCCTGAATTTTTGAAATTCTGGATGAATAATTTTCCTTTGCCATTGATTAAAAAATCAAATACTTCATTTATAAGAGAAGGTGTATCACGACAAAGAGACTTGGTCAGTTTCCATTCATCTGCAACATCGGAGCAGTTTAAGTATTTCCCATTGTTCCTATTATTTTTTATATCATTTAAAAGTAATCTCATGGTTCTTAATGTCAGTATTTGATGCTTCTGAAATTCTAGCCATCTTAAAGTTACTTCTTGTAACTGGTCAAGATTGTAAGGAAGTTGCTGCTGTTCATTTTGGAGGGGAATATCTGTAATTTTTTTTTGACCAGTAACAATGATAAAAGTATGCAAAAATAATAATTTCATATTGTTTTCTTCCTTTGCATCTATATCTTGTTCATTACTATTTGAGGGATTGAGCAATTCCAAAAGAGCATCTAAATCTTCAGATGCAAACTCAAATAACATTGATTCATTTAAATTGGTGCAATTTTTAAATATTTTGTACCTTTTTTTAGTTACATCTATTTTGTTCAATTTCAATGGAAAGTATTTCTCAGATTTGTTATTTTGAATTTCATTATTATGAGTCAAATTCAACTCTGAATTAGTGTAAATTATAAAAAATTTCATGTTTGAATTTTTTCTGTACTCATTACAGAAAAAAGTGTATAAGTCATTCAATGAAAAATTACTTTTCTCTCTCTTTTTCTTAGGGAAAAAGTCATCAAATGTGATCCTTGCATTATTAGCAGAGCCTACGTTTATCAGATATGTAATTTTTTTTTTGTACAAAATATTAATTACATTGCTAGTGTGATAACTTTTTGTACTTACTGCTGATATATTCATATGAACAAACATATCATTCAATAAAGACATTAGTATTTGAAAATTTTCATTGCTGATACTCTTTTCAGCTATCGAGGTATATTTTATCAGTCTGTTTTGTAACTTTATGTAATCTTTTTCATTTTTTTCAATCTCATCCTTTAATTTTATTTTTAAACTTTCTCTGCAAGGTTGATTGTCCAGAAATATAAGCTTCGTTAGAAAGCTTTTTTTCAAGTGTACTTCAAACTCTGAAGTTAAACATTTCTTATTAAATGTCTTTTTATTTGTACTTGACAACATCAAGCGCTGACAGAACTCGTCAATCGTTTGATCATCTGTTGCAAATTTATAAAATTTACATGAAGTGTTGGTTACTAACATATCTTGAAGCACCGGAATTTGGCATATATCCATACTTTCAAATTGAAATGGGTAAGAATTTTTCGAACTGCACATGGTCAACTTATTGTCCTCAGATAATTCCAGTTTGTCGTTACAAAATACGACGAGATACTTAATTTTCGAAGTTTGGTACTTTGGCTTATTGAGCTCATAACTGACCCAACTATTGAAATAATTTTTCAGAGAATACGGACTTTTTATCCCAAACAAATCGAGGTATGTGATAAACTTGTCGGAAAATAGACTTACGGTGTAGTTTACGTTTACGTGAATGGACTCGTCATTCTGTCTAATTACTATATCGGAGAACTTGTCAATATCTTTGTTGTCCAATGTCAATCCAACTCCATCCAACTTTTTATCTTCGACGCGTCTTTTCAGGTAACACCAAGTTGAGACGT